CAGTCTTGTGTTGTCACGCTCTGCGTGTTATGGGCTCGGTACAAGACTACTCAAGGCGTTAATGACAGACAAAGGTCGGGTTGTCCCAGAGTACTCAAATCGATACTCGAGTACTGGATGCATCCGGGTGCGTCATTTTCAAAACCGAACCACTGTACAGAATTTCCAGCCGGAGAGATGGTAATCGGCTAAGGGAGGCAGGAATTTTCGCTCGAAGACCTGTGGGACGTAACGTTCTGACCCCACGAATCCTAGCGGAGAATTTGCAGTGTGCCACCAGAGGGTCAGATGGACATGCGCCAGCCAGAGGACTGTTTGTTCTGTCATGTGCTGACGGGGACACACCTGTGGACAACGTTATGAACCAAACTGTGTGTAGCCAGTCGATATTGTCTTGGGGGTGGTATTGTGTTGATGTGAGCAGGACTCCATCATGGTGGTAGGCGAACTGACGGGTATCCGATATTGGCACTTGATTCTGCAGCACCACGTCATTCAACACGCTAACGGTGGACTATGACGCCAGACCATATGTTGCACGTGTTTGTTATTACACTCTATGGCGCAACAACTCCCTCACGTTACCTTGGCCTGCCCGCTCGCTTGATTTGTCCCCAGTCGAACATCTATGGGATGCATTGGCTCAACGTGCATTCCGGAGGAATCCAGCACCCCAGACACTTCCTCAGCTTCTTTGGACACTGCAGCATGAGTAGTAGAACATTCCACAACATGGTGAACAACATTTGATTGCTTCCATGCTGTTAAGTTTTCATCAGGGCTCGTGGACTTGCCATGTGTTCAAAAAATGGTCAATGTGGTACAACAACCCTGTCTAGGATGCCATTGATGCATCGTTATCCATTCACATTCTGTCCGATCGTCACAATGTCAAGTTTACAGTCATGTGAGAGGAACCCCTACACCATCAATGAACCCCCGCCAGACGGTGCTTGATCATTTGTAATCTGCTGGGCATATGATTGCTTCCATGCTGTTAAGCTTTCATCAGGGCTCGTGGTTGACATAACCGATACTGACAGTTTGACCAGCTTCATGTCAATCACATGCCTGTATGCATGTTTCAATCACATGCCTGTATGCATGTTTCAGAGGGGTTCCCAGAGATGCAGCGTATGACATGTCTACAGTTATCCCCTTCTCATCTTGCCATGATCTTTTGTTACTTGTATCTTGTCTACAGGTTTTGTAAATAAACTTTGAATGTCAGTGTCAAGATTGTGTTTTTAAAAATACATATCAAAAAGCTTCCAGGAAGTTCTTTAGTAAGCTGGAATGGACTACTCTGTCTGCTGGAATGGAATGGACTACTCTGTCTGCTGTAGAAGATTCCTTACCCCCTGGACTCCCCATAGCATCTAAATATAGCAGCTAGTACGCCAGTCTGCTGAATCTTAACAGAAACAATGAACTCTCTGTATAACAATGCGTAATGTTTTACACAAACACTGTGTGTAATCATACATATAAAATAGTCAGTTTTCCTATTTGTATACGCTATTGGTCTTTCCACCACCCGGTTGTTTTTGTTGACAAAGTAGCCCACTCACACTGAAATCAATAAGCGAATAAAGTGTTGGAGTAGATATTCAACTGCCATTCTCTGTTGTTTGGCATCTGATCCTTTGACTCGTTTGTGCGACCATCCGGAGAAAAGTTGTGTACTTGTTTACAGCATGTCGAGTGAGTGAGTGAGGTTTAGTTTTACGCCGCTTTTAGCAATATTTCAGCAATATCACGGTGGGGGACACCAGAAATGGGCTTCATACATATTACCCATGTGGGGAATCGAACCCGGGAAGGGAGGGAACGCTTTAACCAGGAGACACCCCACCACCCTACAGCGGGTTGAGGGTATCACAGACAAAAACACATGGACAATGTATCACAACACCCCATATTTTCATAGTATTAACATGTCATCATGAACCATAGCAAAGGATCCTAACCCAAATTTATTATCTGGATAATCTGACCCTTTAGGAATAATGATATGGCCAATCTTAACACAAAAAGACCGAAATACTATAGTTTATTCAGAGAAGCAAACATGGCAACAAATGGACTCATTTTGTAGTGCTGATACCTATGGTCAATATTATGTAAATAAGTGCGGCCAATTTCAAGATTCTGGCATACAATAATCAGGAAATCACATAAATATACCCGATCGAACATCTGTGGGATGCCCTGGACAGACGGGTGCGACGCCGTAACCCTCAGCCCCAGACACTTCAGCAACTCGCACAGGCACTACAGGCAGAGTGGGCTGCGATTGGGCAACACGAGATTCTGAGACTTCTTCGTTCGATGCCGTGCAGTTCTGGATGCCCACGGTGGCCACACGAGGTATTGACTTAAGCGCCACCACACGTCTCCATGTGACACTCAAACTGACTTTCCTCGAGTTGGTGCCAAAGACGGATAAGTCTGCATTCCCAGTGTGCAATTTCGCTATATTTCATTCATTCATATAGCCTACAAGATGTTTCCAAATAAACATAAAAATACAGTTGAAATTCCTATATGCGTTTCTTTTTTGGGAGAGTATATAAATAACCAAGCAAAATGTCAATATTCGAGGTATTGCGCTCTATTCTTGATGGAGGGCTTGTTCCAATGCATCAAGATTGTGTACTGTAGGATCTCTCTAGGGTATTCTGTGACCCATTATGTCCCAAACATGGTCTATGCGACTGAGATCTGGACTCATTGCGGACGTAAGAAATCACCAACGGCACGTGCACATGTGGCCAAGCATTGTCGTCCATGAGGACTGGCCATGTGTTCAAAGAATGGTCAATGTGGAACAACAACCCTGTCTAGGATGTCAGTGATGCATCGTTATCTATTCACTTTCTGTCCGATCATCACAATGTCAAGTTTACAGTCATGTGAGAGGCACCCCCCTACACCATCAATGAACCCCTGCCAGACGGTGCCTGATCAAAGGTAATCTGCTGGGCAAATGCAGTGTTTCCTCGGCGCCAAACACGATCTCGGTCATCAGTCATGAACTAAATACATGTAAATAGACTTTTTTCCGACCAGACCAGTCGTACAGATAAACTTCGTATCTGCGTAAATTACACAGATATTTATGTGAAAACGCAATTCCTATTAAGTCTATTGCGTACAAGTACACTTGAACTTCTGTAAGTATGCAATAAATTTGATCTTACATGAATACACACAAAAATGTCAAATCTTAGCTTGCGTACTGGTGGATTGATAAAATAACTGAGGTAGAGTGAGAGGTTCTATTTCAACACATGAACTTGGCAACTTGCAGTCTTCCTTATCGTTTCTCATATTACAGATCAAATCTAAATAATAAACACGTAAACCAACATTTAAACTTTATTACGCTATTATGAACGCTTATTTATACGCATTCATGTAACATGTGTTTCATACACAATCGTATGTTCGTCAAAGGGAGATAACTCCATTAAAATCTGTGTACTTCGGACTACTGTATAATTCGGGCTTTTTAGTCGGTCCCAAGCTGGTCTGAATTAGACAAAGTGCCCTGTATATGTTTACAATTATTGGAAAATGGCAAAATACCCAATTGAGTTTGAGTGAGGTGGGTACAATTTATTTAGTTACTCAAATTGCGATGAACACAAGCGAGTTAATAACTTAGTAACCCAAAAAGTTATCTGTAGCTCTGCCAGACCCTTCCCCATGACCTCATATTCCAGTGACGTTGAGCTTGAAGCCAAGCTAGTCTTGCTGCTTTGTGCTCTGTGGATAACAACGGATGTCTGATAGGTCGTCTGGCTCTATCCCCTACCTATTTAAGGCAACTTTGAACCGTTCTGTAGAACGACGATGTGGAAACCGCTCTGTTTTTAACATACTACTTGACATGAACGGATGAAGTCTTTTGATTCTGAGAAGGGCTTTATTTTGCGAAAGAATTGTCACTCGTGGCCGATCTGAACGCTGGCGGTCCCTAACGCCATTAGTTTGCTGATGTTTTCTGGCCAAACGGCTGATAGTCGATGGCCAAACAGCTGAATGACAGCATTCTGTATGTGTAACTTGTTATCCTTAAACACTTGTCAGCCCGAGGAGGCCTCATTGTTGCTCGTCGACAACGAAATCAATTGATTTACCAAGTTATCGAGCTTATAGAACAGTTTACTGAAACTTCACATTTGCCCAATGACGGGTACACCTATTGCTCGCCGTTGACCGTAGCATGTGCATTGTTATACACAAACATGGTATTCTGAGGTGTCAAACTGTTCCAAACTAAACTTTTATGCAGAGTTCAAAGTGTCCCTCTTTCCCGAGCTATACCTAAGCAGTTTACGTAAAGAAAACGCAAGCATGCTTACCTTGTTCAGAATTGGCGAACTCGATATAATGCAAAATACAGGAAGGAGGCAGGGTATTGACAAAAAACATCCGTTTTTGCCCACTATGTAGTTTAAATGCTGTTGAAAATGAAATTCATTTTCTTTTGTTTGTCCTGTTTATCATGATATACGTCTTAAATATTTTCCTTATTTACACGTGGACACTATCAGTAACAGAGATACTCTTGTAAGATACTCTTGCTACAGTCCTCTGATGTCTTGCTGTTAAAAAAACCTGTCAAATTTTGTGAAAGACGCTGTCAGTCTACGATCGTCATATCTTTAAAATTAAGGAAATGCAGCACCAATTGTAAATATTTGCATGTAATATGTACGTGGCCCTGAGGCCTTATCACTGAAATAAATAATTGAATGTGCATAATATAAAATCAATGTATGGTGCACCTGAAGGGCCAAAATAATCATACAAACAAACATAATAATGATATGAATATAAATGGCTATATGGGTTTACAAATCATAGTTGTTGTGATACATTTCTCCTTGTGTATGTATTAACCATTAATATGTACGTATGTTCAAAGGAATAGTGGGATATATGAAAAGTATGAAGGGGTAGTGTATATTTTAAACGAACACTTTACTCAGTTTTCAGCTTCAAAACTGGAGAGCTGAGTAAAAGACGCAGATGTAAAAGACACAATTCAAAGTAAAGGCGGGACAGATTTACGAACTTAACATGTAGAAAGGCTTCTGATTTAAGAAAAATAGAAAGAGGTAACAGAATCCAACAACCGACCTTTAACCGACCTTGGAACAGCTAGCAAGGTTATAACAACAGAGTTTCTGGTCAGTGTACAGGAGAGTTCTGTATATGGAAAGCTTGGAAGTGATTGAGGACAAGACGATTGAGGATTGATCACTTGACCACCTTGTTAAGGAGAAAGTATATCAAATGGAGAAAAGACTGAAAGGCAACAATTTAAAAAGGTATGACGAATTTGGTTCTTATAATGATGTTTACTCCATCAAAGACATTGCTACCTTTGAGGAAGGGGAAATTGAGGAGTTAGAAGAAGGTGAGTTGGATGAGAGAGAGCTTCATTATCCCCAAAATGTTCAGAGTTCACGTAATATAACCAAGGTTCAAGGAAGGGATCCAAAATATCAAAAAAGGTCTATTGAGAGAAGTCAGTCACATAGGAGAAGCAGAGACAAATCACCTGGTAGAGCAAGACAACCAGAGAAGGACAGAGCCATATCATCAGAAAGAGCCTACCCTTCAAAGGGGTATTCAAACAGATCCCAAGAGCACAGGCAAATCCGGGATAGATCAAGGAGCAGAGAGAGAAGGATAAGACATGAAGGACAGTCAAATCAACATCACCACGATCGCCGTCATCATGGTGGAAATAGGTCCATATCACCAGGAAGAGTTGAGTATCAGACAGAGAGATACCGGATGTCAGAAAAAGCCTACCCTTCAGAGGGGTATTCAAACAGATCCCAAGAGCACAGGCAAATCCGGGATAGATCAAGAAGCAGAGAGAGAAGGATAAGACATGAAGGACAGTCAAATCAACATCACCACGATCGACGTCATCATGGTGGAAATAGGTCCATATCACCAGGAAGAGTTGAGTATCAGACGAGAGATAGAATCATATCAACAGAGAGATACCGGATGTCAGAAAAAGCCTACCCTTCAGAGGGGTATTCAAACAAATCCCAAGAACACAGGCAAATCCGGGGTAGATCAAGAAGCAGGTCATCTGACAGAAGAAAACAAGAAGGAACATGCCAACCCGAGAGTGACAGAATATTTTCACCAGACCGAGATTGTGCACTTGGAGGATCATTGGGAAGTGGCAGGTATTGTGACAGATCATTTAACAGATCTTACAGATCAAGTGAGAGATGCAGAGGCAAATCATTAGACAAATATTTGTTCCAAGAGAAAATACAAGACCCTAGGTGTTCAACCACAACATATCAGAATTCCAGATCTGAGCATGTGCAGGGACATCTAGAAGGATCTAGAGGCATAAAACGGAGTCATCCTGACACAGTATCTGCAAAATGGGAATGGGAATGGGAGTGTAAAAAGCAGTACAAAGGAACTAATCAGACAAACAGACATGATTCATACCAGAAGAAACGACAGCAAAATCATGGATTGCTTCGAACTATATTGTTTCTGAACAAACCTATCCCTGAGCCTAATGTAATAGCATCAACACTTGCAAATCAAAGTGACAAGCTTGAAGCCTATCTTTGTAAAAATGACATATGTCCACTGATTTTTCGCCTCATCTCTGTTTTAGAAAATTGTTCTAGAGCAACACTTTGCCATGAAAATAAGTTGAAAGTCATGTATGTGTTACGAACAAGAAAATTCTTTGAAAGGAAAGATATCATTGATACACTGAAAGATCAAGAATCATCTTCAGGTAAAGATTCATATTTAGTGTTTTTGACGGAGCTACTGACACTCATGAAAGCAATGATCCACGAAGTTAAAGTGGAAAAGAAAGATATTCAGATCTGCAAATCACTTATAGAAAGTAGTCCTCAAATTGAGGACGAGAAAGGCGAGGGACTAAAGAAGTTGCTGGGGGAGATATCAGAGCTGTACAAAAAACAGAACGTGATGACTCTTGCCTCTAATGCCCTGGATGAATATCCTGTCATAGATCAGCCTATTCTACCAAGCATTGAGATGATAAAGTCTGGTGACAAAACCAGTATTCCTAAGCATGACACATGTGAGCCATTCCCCAGTGAACAACATTATGTGGCTCACATGTATGCCATCTTCAGAGAAGACTTTGTACAGCCCCTTGTCAATGGGATAAGGATGTACATATCTCACTTGGAGAAGCATTCTAGACAGCGATTTAGGAATACTGATGTTAAGCTCTATGAGAAGGTACAGTTGATTTCCACTATCACACAGAGAGACAATGGAATGGCATGGACAATCCGTTTTGAGTCAAACTTCCGTAAAGGGTCGTATATTCCATCAGTGCTCCAGTATGGTAATCTCCTCTGTCTCTCACATGATGGCTTCAAATCTATACACTATGCAACAGTTGCTAACAGAGATGCAAGTAAACTCATCAACGGACAAATAGACATCACGTTTGTTGAGGACAGTGATCTGTCACATCTCCTTGAAGTGACATTTGTAATGCTTGAGTGCAGGGCATTTTATGAAGCATATTCTCATTCATTGGCATCATTAAAACTAATGGCCAAGGATATAGAATCCAACGAAAAAGTTCTTCCTCTGGGAAAATATCTGACAGGACAATCACAAACTGTTTCATATCCTTCATATCTGGATACATGTGGTAAAGTGTCCTTTAAATGTCTGAAACACTATGGAGACAATACTATGAAAGAACAGACTTCTTACACAACTGAGGTGAGGAAACTTGAATCGTGGCCATGTTGTACAGAAATTGGCTTGGATGCATCTCAGTTATTGGCACTTAAACTAGTACTTAACAATGAGATTGCTTTAATTCAAGGTCCTCCTGGAACAGGAAAGACAATGATGGGGATTAGAATAGTTGAAGTACTTCTTTCAAACAAAGTCATGTGGCAGGGTCAGATGCAAGCCAGACCACATTGGGGGAGGTTCCATCGTAATGATGCCAAAGGCCCACTGCTGTTGGTTAGTTACACTAACCATGCATTAGATCAGTTCTTACAACTGCTACTGAAGTCTCCGATCATGGCCAGATTCGGAGACCAAGACATCATCAGAGTTGGCTCAAGATGCGAAGTTGAGGAACTGTCCAGATTTGCCCTGAAGAAACACAGACGAAGTCAGTCCTCAGGTGAATATAAAAGAAGTTTTGGAGTTCTCAAAGATATTGAAAGCGAATAGATGAACTGAATGACATTCTATCATTGTACCAGACTACTCTGATTCATGAAGACAGTTTCATGGGCAGTGGGATATTATCCTTGTTCCATTATTCACAATTTGAACAAATGAGGTATTACTTGGAAGGACTTCCAAACAACAATAGCATGTTGTGGTTATGGTTGGAATTGCCACACAGCTTGTTTTACGCTCAGTGCACAGCTGAAAAATCCAACTTTCAAGAAGAACTTGTGCAAGCTGAGGATATTAGAAATGAAGATGATGGGCGGATCATTGATGACGACAGCGATGATGATGATGATGCCTTTTTGTTTGGCTTAGTGCATGGACATAGCTTTTGGCATTTTCCTTATCCTAGAATTGCTTTGGACACAAAACAACTGGAGAATGATCACTATTTCTCAGATTTGTCTGAAAATGACTGCAAACAGATCATGACAGGGATTAGAGAGCGCTTGGCTGTGCAGGACTCCATGCCACATCAGTTAGCAGAAACCATCAAAGATATATGGGAGCTGGATATCACTAACCGCTGGAGCTTGTACAAGCACTGGGTATGCAAAGCCACACATCAACTGACCAAGAAACTGCGATTAGAGAAACAAGAATATCTAAAAGCATCTCAAAGATATTGTGAAACTCGCAGTTTGCTGGACAGCAGGATCATGAAAGAAGCATCGCTTGTTGCCATGACTACAACTGCTGCAGCACGCTATACAAGGACTCTGAAAGAAGTGGGCGCTCCTGTTGTCATCATAGAGGAAGCAGCACAGGTATCTGAACAGCATGTTCTCGGTGCCCTATCACCCTCTTGTCAACATTTGATAATGATAGGTGACCACCAGCAACTGAGGCCAGCATTCAATGATTACTCTCTTGCCAAGTCCCATCATACAGATGTGTCACTGTTTGAACGCTTAGTGCGAAGTGGAATTACTTATCAGCAGCTTGAAAACCAGCACAGAATGAGACCAGAAATGTCACAGCTTCTAGTTCCACATATATACAAGACACTGAAAGATGATGACTCTGTCTTCAGCTACCCTGATGTCCGTGGCATGGCAAGTAATGTGTATTTCCTTTCACACGAAATAGAAGAAGACCACGATGAGGAATCTTTGAGCCACAGAAACAAACATGAAGCTGACTTTCTGACAAAGTTGTACAGACACCTCAGATTGCAGGGATATCTCTGCAGCGAGATAACTGTGCTAGCATTGTATAATGATCAAGTTCAAGCTTTGAGGAAGAGGATTAGAGAAACTGAGAAGGATTTCTTATTGCTTCACAGAAGGGAGGAGGAACAGCTCAATTCTGAAATCAAGTCTATACAAATGCGAACAAGACAATCTGGTGTAAGAATAACATCAGTAGACAATTTTCAGGGTGAAGAAAATAAAATCATTCTACTCTCACTTGTTCGCAGCAATAAATCATGTCGAATAGGGCACCTTTCTGCAGCAAATCGTGTTTGTGTTGCACTTTCCAGAGCCAAGGAAGGACTCTATGTGATTGGTAACATGGAGTGTTTGGGGAAAGCCTCTTCTCTCTGGGACAAAGTAGTTACCAAAGCTGAAGAAAAAGGTATGTGTGGAAACGTATTGAAACTTAAATGCTCCAAACATCCAGAGAGAATGATGGGGGTTAAAACTGCCAAAGATTTTGACCAATACTCAGATGGTGGATGCAGTCAGGCATGTAATGCACGTCTCAGCTGTGGACATACATGCAGCAGAAGATGCCACACTGATGACCCAGAACACTCACAGAAATGTGTCAAAGTAGTTCCTAAACTTTGCAAAGTGGGACATTGTCAGGAAAAGAAATGTTGTGAGGAAATGGCTAAATGTGAAGAAATAATTGAAGTCCAACTACCAAAGTGTGACCATACTGCAAAGATGCCGTGTTTCAAAGACATCGGAGATGTACAGTGTGAAGAAAGATGTACAGAGATAATATTATGTGGTCATGTTTGTCAAAGAAGGTGTGGAGAGGTTTGCAACACGGCAGACAATTGCAATGAACTTGTCAAGAAAACAGGAAAATGCGGACATTCCTGTCAGATTGCATGTTCCAAAACAATTGTGTGTAAGATTCCTTGCCAAGCACAGCTTGATTGTGGTCATCCATGCATGGGCACCTGTGGAACATGTCATCAAGGTCGCTTGCACCAACCTTGCAGGAAGAAATGCGAGAGGAAATTAATTTGTGGGCATCCCTGTGGAGCATTTTGTACTGAAGTGTGTCCACCCTGTCGACGACAATGTGAACAAAAGTGCAACCACAGTGTGTGTGGTGATAAATGTGGGGATATTTGCGTTCCCTGTAAGGAACCATGCAGATGGAGATGTAGAAAGGATTGTAGAAATAAATATGCATGCACCAAGCTTTGCTCTGAAGACTGCAACAGAGACCGATGTGATATGCCTTGCCCAAGAACTATGCCTTGTGGTCACAAGTGCAAAGCTTTGAATTGTGAGAAGTGTTTCTGTAGAGAATGCACAGACCAGGCACAGTTTGAAATCTTCTTTGGAACCGAAGATGAACAAGGTGCAGTGTTCTACAAACTACCAGACTGTAAACACATCTTTGAGATTACATCACTCGACACGTACATGGACAATGATAGTGAAAGCATTGGAATGAAAACATGTCCAAGATGTACCTCCACTATCATGACATCAGAGCGATATGGTAATTGTATCCGCCAATGTCAAAAAGAAATTGATGAAGTCAAAGAGAAACTATTTTCCCAACCCAGTGAAATGAAAAGAGAAAAGGGCAGACTCACTGACGAATTATCAAAGATAGACAATGAAGAACAAAAGGATATATTCATGAAACAGGTATCTTCAACCAAAAACACTGATGACGTAGCTCGTCTATCAAATCAGATCGGGTTCTATTTGAATGTCAGGAGCACTGGAGACAATTTGGACAGTGTCATGGCTGGAGACATTGCTGGAGACACGGTCCAGGACATGAAAGATGAGCTATCCTGTTTGATGGAATGGGTTCTTGTAAAACGTGTCAGGTTCAGTGATCAGGAACTATCAGAGTTTAAAATGGAGCTCACTAGAATAAGACTCGGCTACCGATATCTCTTCATGCAACATAACCTGTCAGCTATAGACGTTTCTGAAGAGAAGCGGAAGCGAGTGGGGGAGTCAACAGAGAGACTACGCAGTGGGAACAAGCTGTTGGAGGATGAGCTGGAAGTCCTGCAGGAGGAACTGAAGAAGCTGGAAGCTGAACACCCTCACAGAGGACTTGGCATTTCTGATGACGAGCGTATCATGATACTCAAGGCAATGGGCTTTAATCAAAAAGGACACTGGTTCAAGTGCAAGAAAGGTAAGCAACTGTTTATCTGAATTATTTTTTTCCAAGCAGACCTATCAACAAGATCAAACTATTGACATCTTGTTCGGATTTACAAAGAGTATTTGGCTACCTATTTGCATTAAAAACTTGCCTGCTACTTTTGAAACGTATACGTTGACGTATTCCTACTTACCACAGATTGTCTGTATGTGATTGTGAAGAACAAATTGGACTACTTATACTTATAACAGTATATTTATTAGATGTACTAGTGCACATGTATGTGCGTAAGCGTGTCCATGTATGTATATGCATGTGTGCAAGTGTATGTATGTACGTATGATTGTCAGCTTTTTCAGGTGTTGTACAGGGTTCTAAATCTGACGGTAAAACAGTTGAGGCATGGGCCTCTTTGTAGTTTATTAGTCATTTTATGCTGACATCTTTCTTCCTAATATTTTAATTCATTACTGGTTGACTGACTGACTGACTGAGTTTGGTTTTACGCCGCTTTTTAGCAATATTCCAGCAACATCACGGCGGGGGACACCAGAAATGGTCTTCACACATTGTGCCCATGTGGGGATTCGAACCCGGTTTTTGCGGCGTGACGAGCCAATGCTTTAACCATTAGGCTACCCCACCGCCCCCATTATGGTTGAAACTAGATATAGCACAAGTATGTCAATCATGCAACAGCTTTCTTCCAACTCATACACAATCTTCTCAGACTGAGGTGTTTTGATTTAAATTGGAACAAGTTTACTCGACCTCTACTGACTCACTTGGTGGTCAGTAGTGTCAGATCCTGTCTGCTATTGTTTTGTTTGCACTTTTTATCACAATATAGAACAGAACAATTTATAGTATCTGGATTGATATAATCTTTAACTTGATTTTGTACGACAACCCACATAAATGTAAAGAAACTAACAACTTCTTCAACTTGTTCATGATTTTTTTTGCTCCCAGACAGATTTAAACTGCTGAACATTTATTTGGTTACTATTCATTTCCAGAACACAATGACTATATCACTGTTTTCCTTGACTCCATGTATATAAACCATGTTATCTGGAGAGGCATTGAAATAAGTCTTCTTGTTTGTCGGTCCGGCCATGACTATCTCTATTTTCATGGAACAAATACGTTTAAACCACATACCTGGCGCTATATGGGGGGACCTTAAGTTAACCTATCCATGCAGTTGAGATCAGTAAACTTACATGAAAATTAAAAAGCCATTTTTGTAATTATTTATAGGCTAAATTGCATGAACAGAAATATAACTGTTTGCCAATCTTTCCTCTGTGTGATCCTCAGGTCATATTTATGCAATTGGTGAATGCGGTGGAGCCATGCAAGAAGGCAAGTGTCCTCAGTGTTCGGAGACTATAGGAGGATCGCATCACCAGTTAAGGGAAGATAACTCCCTGGCTACCGAAATGGACGGAGCACAATTTTCAGCTTGGTCGGATCAGGCCAATATGGCTAATTATGACCTGGATTAGCATCCTTCATAGTGAAGCAACAACATAAAGGGGGAACACCCCCCAGAAAGGGAAGATAACTCCCTGGCAAATGAAATGGATGGAGCACAATTTTCAGCTTGGTCGGATCAGGCCAAAATCTGAATTAGCATCTTGTTCATGTTTCTTAAAGTTGTATTGGCAACTTGTACATTTAGTTCACATTAGTATAGAATGTACCTGAATGTTGTATTTGGCAACTTGTACATTTAGTTCACATTAGTATAGAATGTACCTGAATGTTGTATTTGGCAACTTGTACATTTAGTTCAAATTAGTATAGAATGTACCTGAATGTTGTATTTGGCAATTTGTACATTTAGTTCACATTAGTATAGAATGTACCTGAATGTTGTATTTGGTAACTTGTATATCTTGCTCACATTAATATGGTATGTACCTGAATGTTGTATTTGGGGACTTGTACATGTTGTTCACATTTGTATAGAATGTACCTGAATGTTGTATTTGGCATCTTGTACATCTTGTTCACATTAGTGTAGAATGAACCTAGACGTTGTATTTGGCAACTTGTATAGTTTGCTCACATTATTATTGAATGTCCCTGAATGTTGTATTTGGCAACTTGTACATTTAGTTTACATTTGTATAGAATGAACCTAAATATTGTGTTTTGCAACTTGTATATTTTTGTCACATTAGTATAGAATGAACCTAGACGTTGTATTTGGCAACTTGTATATTTTGCGCACATTAATATAGAATGTCCCTGAATGTTGTATTTGGCAACTTGTACATTGAGTTCACATTAGTATAGAATGTACCTGAATGTTGTATTTGGCAACATGTACATCTTGTTCACATTAGTATAGAATGTACCTGAATGTTGTATTTGGCAACATGTACATCTTGCTCACATTAATATAGAATGTACCTGAATATTGTATTTGGCAACTTGTACATCTTGTTCACATTTGTATAGAATGTACCTAAACGTTGTATTTGGCAACTTGTACATCTTGTTCACATTAGTATAGAATGTCCCTGAATGTTGTATTTGGCAACTTGTACATTTAGTTCACATTAGTATAGAATGAACCTAAATATTGTATTTGGCAACTTGTGTATTTTTGTCACATTAGTATAGAATGTACCTGAATGTTGTATTTGACAACTTGTACATTTAGATCACATTAGTATAGAATGAACCTAAATGTTGTATTTGGCAACTTGTATATCTTGTTCACATTAGTATAGAATGTACCTGAATGTCGTATTTGGTAACTTGTACATCTTGCTCGCATTAATATGGAATGAACCTGAATGTTCTATTTGACAACTTGTACATCTTGTTCACTTTTGTATAGAATGAACCTAAACGTTCCATTTGGTAACTTGTACATCTTGCTCACATTAATATAGAATGTACCTGAATTTTGTATTTGGCAACTTGTACATCTTGTTCACATTAGTATAGAATGTACCTGAATGTTGTATTTGGCAACCTGTACATCTTGTTCACATTAATATGGAATGTCCCTGAATGTTGTATTTGGTAACTTACACTATACGCCAAAAGAAACGTTACCCTCCTACCTTTATGAATTACTGAAAAACTATCAAAGATATGTTAGAAGGGTTTACAAGAAAGCTTAACAACACAGCTTTATGCAAATCAAATGCATTCATATTTAGGTGAAATGCATCTTTTTAAGAAGAGTTAAATTGTCCTATATTCGTCAATGCCAAAATAAACCAATTATAGTGATTTTGATGTCCAAACAAAAGGTTGAAATAATATTCTGCTTTGGGACAATGATAAACCATTTAAAGTCGCCATTTTTCAACTACTATAACAAGAAACAACTGTTGTAGAGTGTGTAAAATTATACAATAATCATTCCTATGATTTCAATCTTTTAAATCATTTTCTGCTGATTTGCATTAGTGAAAACAAGTAAAACGTGTCTTTTATATTGTGAAAAAATGTTTAGGAACATCTAAAATTATCTTTGTTTATATTTTTGCTTGCAACATAACACTTTTCCATTTTCTGTTTACACATAGCAATATCAATCGCCTAAAACGCAGCAATATTCAAGCAGTATTTACATCCATTTCACATGTGGAATGATTCTATAGGGTATAAAGAGAGCCTAGAATACATGATCTGATACACAAGTACGAGAAATATGCCACGATTAACAGCTGAAGAGAGAGAAGAGCCATTGGGATGGTGCAGATGGGGTCCACATACAATGATTTTGCCAACACCCTCGGATGCCACCCTATCACGGTTATAAGATTTATTCAGGGCTTCAGACAGACTGGGGTCACCGTAGACAGACCAAGAAGGGGACGTCAACGCATCACAACGCCAGCTGAAGATATGTACCTCCGTCATTAAGGAAGGAGGGTAACGTTTCTTTTGGCGTTTAGTGTACACATCCTGTTCACATTGGCGCAGTATGTACCTGAATGTTGTATTGGAAACTTGTACTTCTTGTTTACATAAGTATAGAATATCCCTGAATGTTGTATTTGGTAACTTGTACATTTTGCTCATTTGGTACATTTTGTAACATCTGGTAACTTGTACATTGTGTTCACATTAGTGTTGGGGGCGGCTGGGTAGCCTCGTGGTTAAAGCGTTTGCTCGTCATGCCGAAGACCCGGGTTCCCCAACATGGGTAAAATGTGTGAAGCCCATTTCAGGTGTCCCCCACCATGATATTGCTGGAATACTGCTAAAAGCGGTATAAAACTAAATCTTTCTAACTCACTCACTCACTTGAGTGTGGAATACACCTGAATGTCACAGTGGGTAACTTGTACATTTTGTTCACATTACTGTGGAATAATACACTTTAACGTTATATCTGGTAACTTGTACATTGTTTTACATGAGTGTGGAATACACCTGTTACATCTGGTAACTTGTATATTTTCACTATACCTTTTGTGTGTGGCTTAACTTAATATTTTCTGGATATGCAGAGCTAGAGTGTTGGAAACAGTACTATATCCATAAATCGAAAGTCCACAACTACATAGCTTCTTAAATATTTCTGTCAAAGCAGATGGTGGTGGAGTGTGGTCCTGTGCATAGAGCTCAGGTCACAAATCAGTTGAAGTTAAGTAATGTTGGGAGTGGAGAGTCCTTGGATGGGTGACCGTGTTTGGCAGCTTCAGACTTTTTAAGGACTGCATTCCTGCCCCACAACGAAGCACATGTGATGCATGTGGACTCACCTTAGGCAAGTGAGTTTGTAAAAAATATGCCTCTGTTCACCCAGCAGAAAATAGGTTCCTGGTGAAATACATCATGTGACTATTAACCTTCTAGCATGTAGATTTAACAAGTGTGTGGAAACAGATGTTTTATTTATGGCCATTATTATTTTTATTATTAAATGATAACATTATTCTTGCTTTCCTTCACATTCTACTATATTTTGGATCATTTGTCTGTCATGAGAGCAAAATCAGTTGCCATTGAGACTTTTTTAAGTTCACTGAACAGTTTTGAATCACTTCAGGATGTCTGGTTTCATTATATTTTGGTACCACACAACTTTATCATGTTTATGGATACCAGTTTCTGTTGTATTGCTTAGAGCAATGTTCCGGTGTAAGAATGTTGCTCTATGCAACATATGTTGTAATGTTATGTTGTATGCTTCATTATTGACTCAAAAACTTCTAGAACGCTGATCACTTGATTGTCTGGTTTGTTTTCAGGCTTGTGTTACATGGCAGGAGTACTGCTGGGCAGCGTTGAGCAAAAAATATTTCTTACTTCAGGCAAATCATTTGAATGGTGGGTGCTACCGATAGGGCAGGACTTGCTTACCCTTACCGCGAACACCTGGTGTCATCACTGATTGTCAGCGATCTATTTGTATTATTTTCACAGCTGTTTTTCCCTCTACACCAGATGGAATTTATTTGTGAGCATAGTCAAAACGGGGTATTCTTTTGCACTGTCGTTCTCTGTTGTCACAACAATAAACATAAAATAAAGTCCTGCTTTTTGTGTTTGATAGAAACAATTATAGCTCTTTTAATATTTCATACTGAGAAGCATCTGCAGTAAATTCTGATAAACCACAGTGAATTGTAATAGTATCTATAGTGTAATGGAATGAAATGTATTATAATGAATTATAAGTTTGTTGAATTGTATGAACTTCTGTGAAGTGTAATATGTTGTACTGAATAGCAATAAACTGAGGTGAAATGTAATAAACTGAGGTGAATTGTAATAAACTGTGGTGAATTGTAGTAACTTTGAACTAATAAACTCCCATAAAACCATGCTCACTGTTCTGAGTAGTTTTTAATAATTTCTTACTGTCAAGATTACCTTGTTAATTGATGAGGTGTGCAGGAAGGTTGAGTCCATCCCAAAGTTTGCCGTTGTCTTCTGTATGACTTCCCATTCAGTCTCTCAAACTATGAAACTGTGTCTCATCGCATACTAAGGGTTTTACTGGATTCTCCAGGATGCACAAATGTCTAGATTGGATACATAATATATTGAATCCAGAGGGAGCCACAATAATATTCATTCTACACAATTCTTAACACCAAAATATAAGGGTTCAGTATTTCAAGTTATTATCTAATATACTAAGCAGCAAAAGAAACGTCAGTTTGGAATTTTCCTTCGCAGAAACGGATAACTGTAAACTCATTTAATGTTTTGATTGTATATTTTTGACAACATCTCCAACTTTACCTGAGCAAAGACATCCTTTCCCAAACTCAGAAAGGAACCCAAGAAATGGTCTCAAAAACGCAACCTGATCTCGGAGATGGTACGGTGTTCTCCATGTTCTCTCATGCTGCACATGCTGTTCATAAAGACCAGCCCTATAAAATGCACCCCCCAAACCTGGTTCAAACATTCACATTACAACGTCAGCAGGATGCCGCAACTCACGACAGCTCAGTCTCAGGAACCAGGTGCTAGGAAGACTTGAAGCTGGCCACACTGCACAAGCCATTGCCAATCACTTCCAGGTCAACGTTCGGACCATCTACAAGCTGCAGCAACGTTTCCGGGCCACCAACACCACAAATGATCGCCCCCGTACTGGCAGATCAAGCGTGACCACAAGACGACAAGACCGCCATGTTGTGCGACAGCATGTACAGAATCTCATCATGCAGGCATCCGAAACAGCCAGCCAGACAGTGGGAACACACTGAAGACCAATTAGTACTGATACAGTACGCCGACGTCTTAACAGCGGGAACCTCCATTGCCGTAGACCTTAACATGGACCTATCCTCACCCTTCGTCATCGGCGTCTACAGTTTGCCCTACAACACCAAAACAGGTGATACAGGCAATGGAGAACTGTTCTGTTCACAGATGAGAGTTGGTACTGCGTATCAACTGCAGATGGCAGAACAAGAATATGGCGACGACGTGGCCAGTTTTACTCAGACCAATGTGTTATGGAAAGGTGCAAGCATCATGGTATGGAGTGGAATAGGCCTGAACCAGAGAGTGGGTCCTGTGGTGTTCCAGAACCTTGGTCCAGGGAGAGGAGGCGGCATCACAGCGGTGCGCTACATCGACCAAGCTCTGACCCCACGTCATACCACATTTCGCACGTCACCGGAACAACATTTTCAAGCATGATAACGCCTGGGCCCATACTGCCAGAGCTACACGGGACTTCCTACAGCAGAACGGTGTCAACATTATGCAGTGGCCAGCCCTTAGTGCTGATTTAAACCTAATCAATCATTTTGGGATGAAATTCAGAGGAGACTGAACAATGTCATACCAAGGCCGAATGGCCAGCCCTTAGTCCTAATTTAAACCCAATCAATCATTTTTGGGATGAAATTCGGAGGAGACTGAATAATGTCATACCAAGGCCAAACACAGCCAATTTATTGTGCCAGGCCATTATCAGAGGGTGGTTCCAGGTGCCAATGGCCTTCATCAATCGATTGGTGCACTCCATGCATAGATGCTGTGCTGCAGTAGACGCTCTAGATACTGAAGTCAGGAGTCTGAATGGACTGCAAACGTTCACTTAATGTCTTGAAATTATGCTGAGTTATTCATTGATGTGTCAAGATATTGTACACAGAAAATGTATTTGATCCGATTATCATATCCATTTCTGTAATGATTTGATTACAGTGCCTATCTAATTTTGAATTCGTACTGATGTTTTTTTAGCTGCTGAGTATATTACTGTACTCTATACAACACAATTTGGTTACTTTGGAGTGAGTGAGTGAGTTTAGGTTTACGCCGCTTTTAGAAATATTTGAGCAATATAACTGTGGAGCACACCAGAAATCTGCTTCACACATTGCACCCATGTGGGGAATCAAACTCGGGTCTTTGGAATGATGAGCAAACACTGAAACCATTAGGCTACTCCACGCACAAGGTACAAGGGTACAAGGACTTCCAGAAAAAGTCCCTTGGTCACACTGACCACTGCCAGTGGTCAAATGATGCTGCAAACCGCAAGGTCTGGCGTCACACCACCAACCAGGCTGTCTCCTCCTTGGAACACCAGTTGAGGGCCAGTTTAAAGAACAAGAGGCAGAGGAGGAAGAACCGCGGAACCTCAGCACCAAACCCAGACCAGATCCTCACCTGCGGCCGATGCACCTGGACCTGCCTGTCCCACACTAGCCTTGTCAGCCACTAGTTCCTGTCGACGTGGACCACACACTTCACATATCTTCATTCGCAAAGCAAGGCCATGAATCCATGCCCTATTTTCCTGTGGAGACCCATAAAATTATTATTTCATAGGTCAAGTCTAAGCCCTGTATCCTTTACTGGATTACATTACAGCAATTTAATGTGGTTTTGATGTTTTAGACAAAAGAATGCCACAAAGGTAGTTAATAATCGTATCACTCTTTCCTGACGAACCAGAGATTTATTTCAATTACTCTATGGTCTCTCTATGCCAAGCTTTAACAACTTATAGAATTATATTTCCATAACTTATTCAGCTGACATATTGAATGATAATTATTACACGAAAAGAATATTTTCAACAGATATCAAGGCACTAGGAAACAAGAAAAAATATTTGCAAACACAGTGTTAGTCACTAAGGCTTGAGACAAAATACTGGACCATTTCCCACAAAGAGTAAAACAACTGACAATAATGGTCAGTAGGTAAGCTCCTGGATGTTCATGATCCTGGCACTGAGACAGAATAGAGACAACAACAATTCTTAAACTGTTTATTATAAAGTTAACAATGTCAACATCTTGTTTGGAATACACACAGACGGTGGACGGACAAAAACAAATAACACAGTATACATTTCCTTCTCCACATTCACTTTGAAATAGTCACAATATGGCTGAAATAATGCTGAGGCGATGTTCAATTTTCACACTGTCAATTAACAATTCTATAATATATATTTCATATCAGTTCTAATTTAGAATATTGCACCAGTAATGTACAATAGTAAGAGGTAAGTTAAAAAAGGGAATGACATGTAACCATTGCAACAACCTTGCATCTGTTGCCATGGTAACAGGTAAGTATATCTTAAGATGAAAATCAACGGCAAAATGTATCACAGAATTTCGAATGTAATTTATACACCGGTCCTCACAGGTTACTTCAGGTCCCACCCTGCCTCATGCTGCCCCACCCACCCCTCATAAATGAAGCAGTAGTGCCTTGCTGGATCAAATTGTGCATAGGGCTGGGGTCAATTTATTTATCAGCATATCCTTTTAATCATATACTCATGCAAAAGAATAGGTGATATTAGATGACGTAATAATGATTTTTCTTAGATTTCTTGTGCAAAGTTGTATATTGATGAATATCACAATCATTGGTCATGTGACACTGTGATAACCAAAGGTAACCAGAATACAAATGTCAATAATTGGTCACTATCTTACAAGTTTATAGAATAAAACTAAAGTTACTACTTAATGACAATAACATGCAGAAACTTGGCAGAAATGTGTAAAACTGTGCAAGTATACGGTACAACCATGCCGGACTGGGCCCTCATGTGTAGAAACGGTGCTTGTAGGTAAACCCTAAAACCCTGCTGGTCTCGAAACCCTGCCAGCCTGCATCCCCTATCTGGATACCCTGCTGATCTGGATCTACAAATCATAAAACCCTACCAGTAATGACCCACTGATGTAAAACCCCAACCTTGATAATCTTCATTAAAAATCTGGAAACCCTGCCAGTCTTCACCAGCTTGTGTGGAAACCTTGATGATCTTGACCTATCAGTTTGGAAACCCAGCTAATCTCGACCCACTTGTCCAGAACCAAAACCCTTCCAGCATGGATGTAGATATCTTGAAACTTTAACAGTTTAAACTACTTGTATTGAAACCCGGCTAATCTCGACCCACTTGTCCAGAACCAAAAGCCTTCCAGCATGGATGTAGACATCTTGAAACTTTAACAGTTTAAACTACTTGTATTGAAACCCGGCTAATCTCGAACCACTTGTCCAGAACCAAAAGCCTTCCAGCGTGGATGTAGACATCTTGGAACTTTAACAGCTTAAACTACTTGTATTGAAACCTAGTTAATCTTGACCCACTACTTAAGAAGCTGTGCTAATCTTGATGCACTAGTCCAGAAACCCTTCCAGTGTGGATGTTCACATCTGGAAACCTGTTTGATCTGCTTGTATAGAAACCCTGGCAGACTGGACCCACATGTCCGAAAACCCTGCATGTCACATATGGACACCTTGCCAGTTTGGAAACCTTGTCTATCTGGTACCGACAGTCTTGAAACCTTGTCTATCTGGACTTGCCAGCCTGGAAAGTACTGATGCTAAAGGCAAACTGAATCTTGCCTTAATCCTTCAATGAAACACATTTCTCCTGACATGAAATATTGACATTAAAATATTTTCCTGGGAATGTCATCAATCATTTTATCTTAAAGTAAAGACAAGCATTTGCAACAGCTGTGAAGACTCCTTGTCAGCCTTGATCAGTAACAAGTCTCAAACCACTCGTTTATCGCTGAGAGCGCAACCCTCACTTCTAGGCATGACACAAATGTGCGATCGTCATCCATCTGAAATGAGAAACAGTCCCATCTTACTGCATGCTCAAGGCGAATGTGAGTGGGTACCAGCACTAGTCAACATAAAACACACATTGTTGCATTGCTTAATTTTCCACTTTAATACATTGTCAGCTGGGGTATATTTCTGTAAAACTACCCATAGTATTTCATCAACAAAAAGTTTTTGGAATAAGGCTATTTTTGTCAAATGATCTGAGAGCTATGTATGACATAAAAAAACAATGTTAAAGTATCGAAGTTTGGTTGTCTGAGCTGTGAAGTCACTTTGCAGCCCAGGTAAGATGTGGACTGATGCTAAAATGACCTGCCAATGTATTCCCAGCATACAACCCACAGTTATCCAACATGTAACATCTACAGTCTACATTACACCGTGGAGATGCAGGTTAGAACTGATATTCAGCAACCGATGCTTGTTGTAAAAGGCAACTAATGGATCGGGTGGTCAGACTCGCTAACTTGGTTGACACATGTTATCATATCCCAAGTACAATCAATGGATTGTCTGGCCCAGATTCAGTTACTGACAGACTGCTGTCATATGGATGGGAAATTGCTGAGTGCAGCGATACATTTACATACAAACAAAACATTCTGTATTATATTATGATACATTTCCTATAACCACTCGCTATCCTAGCTTTGTATTGAACCTTATCTGAAAAAGAAAATGCCCAAACAGTTGTTTATTCAGAAATCAGTCATACATTAGAGAAATACGGTTCTAAATTAGCATTATGAAAGATTGAGACATGAAGTTCTTGAAAGGCATGTAAAAGTAGGATGAACATGAATACAGTCAGCTCTCATTAATCCGACACTCATTAATCCGACAATCACGTTAATCCGACAAAAAATTAGGGAACCATTTAAAACAGTGATAATTACTCTCCTTAATCCGACATACTCGCATTCCGACTCCGACACACCAATCTAGCAACTGATTATTGTAAATACATTGTAAAAACATTTGTTAATCCGACAATCAACACAGCCAGTTGGATAATCCGACTGTATAGAAACAATAACACGTGAGTAGTAATTAGTGTGTGCCTTACTGGCTGCTTGACACCGACGTCGGTGAACATCACACTTGTTAATTAGGAACACAAGATATTTAACTGAGACGATTTAATCAAGAAATAATAGTAGAGCGAGCTGTATCAAATGTTTACAACCGACATGAGTTTTCATCACAAGATGTTTGTCATGAGTACACCACCTACTAAGCGACCCCTTGTAGAAGTTACGCCATTGATCAAGAAAGAAATCTCCTTTTGAAGAAAGACAAACCCCAGACAACACATCAAGAAGTCATCACTTTTGCTGAGCAGAAGTTTGTTTGTTGCAAAGATTGGACGATCAACCGTATCTGACATTCTGAAGCAGTCTGCTTAGTGGTTGAGCGTCTCTATGACTGATTCCAATGCTTCCAGCTATCTGAGGCCAAAACATCGTTGAACACTTTGCAAACATTTCTGACACACCACTTAGACGTGTTTGATGTCAATGACCATGAAACATTTTATAGATAACTTCTTATAATTCTTTATACATGTACGATGTTTCAGAGCTGATTCTTGCTCCTTCATCAGATGATGAAGATCTGAACAACTTCTTTAAATTCTTTATACAACATTTCAGATGATGAAGGAGCAAGAATTAGCTCTTAAAGTATCATTCTTTATACAACATCAGTGTTAATTCCTGCTCCTTCATCAGATGATGAAGATGTGAACAACTTCTTTAAATTCTGTATACAACATTTCAGATGATGAAGGAGCAAGAATTAACCCTTAAAGTATCATTCTTTATACAACATCAGTGTTAATTCCTGCTCCTTCATCAGATGATGAAGATCTGAACAACTTCTTTAAATTCTGTATACAACATTTCAGATGATGAAGGAGCAAGAATTAGCCCTTAAAGTATCATTCTTTATACAACATTTCAGTGCTAATTCCTGCTCCTTCATCAGATGATGAAGATCTGAACAACTTCTTTAAATTCTTTAAACACCATTTCAGATGATGAAGGAGCAAGAATTAGCCCTTAAAGTATCATTCTTTATACAACATCAGTGCTAATTCCTGCTCCTTCATCAGATGATGAAGATCTGAACAACTTCTTTAAATTCTTTATACAACATTTCAGATGATGAAGGAGCAAGAATTAGCTCTTAAAAGTATCATTCTTTATACAACATCAGTGCTAATTCCTGCTCCTTCATCACAAAAAGAAGGAGCAAGGATTAGCTCTGAAACATTGTATACAAAATTAAAGAACTTATTATCCATAAAACGTTTCATGTATCAAGGTTGAGACATGGCATCCAAACTGTAGCTACGTTTGCGAATGAATCTAAATTATTCATATTGTCTGCTTTTTTGTTATTTAGTGCTGCATTCAACATTTACATTCCAGTCTGTAATAAAACAAGTCTAAATTAGATAGTCCAGTGATAAACATCATCAGTGTCACTCGTCACAGTTGGGACACCATGACATGCATCAACAAGGGAGTTGGCCTGACCATCCCATATCATTGGCTGCTTCTTAAACCATCATAGATTGCTGAAGACCAATTCCCAAACTCTGTGTAGCATTTTTCATAACAGAAAGAAAATTAGAAAAATTGATAAATCAAGAACGACAACAAACCTGATTCAGCTCAATATGCACTTGTCCCTTCTCTCCTGAGAACATGGCCGCCAAGTGATTGTCTCCATTGTAATCAAAGTCAAGATCTACAAAACAAATCATTCATTAAATCTACTGGGCATATCATTTTGGCCCAATATAGTATAATAATGTTATAATGTACACCAGTATTTATATATGTGATGCATGAGGTCCGTGAACATCTATCACACAAAAACCTAGCAAATGCATGGACATAGACTTGAAAGTGAAAGAATGACATGTGCAAAAGCTGTTCACATGATATACCTCCATAACACCAAAATCACACTTACTTTTTGTTTTTTCTTTTGCTTGTGCTGTTAATGGTGAACTGTAATGAAAAGGAGACATCTTAATGTAATACTGTAATAACAGTTCTATACAGAAAAAATCATAGTCACATTATTAAACAATATCCAAACTTAGTTACATAGTTTCAAACAAATTACTATAGTTTTCAATTTGAATTATTCCCATTTTGTTTAAGGTTTTGAATTTATGATAAACTGGCCAAATGTTACCCTCCATACATGCCAAGGGGAGGTAACTGTACATATATCACTAACTCCATATTGACAACATCATCACAGCTGTCTGACTGACTGAGTTTGGTTTTACGCCGCTTTTAGCAATATTCCAGCAACATCATGGCGGGGGACACCAGAAATGGGCTTCACACATTGTACCCATGTGGGGATTCGAACCCAGGTCTTCGGCGTGACGAGCCAACGCTTTAACCATTAGGCTACCCAACCGCCCCACATCATCACAGTATTTTCATTAAAATAATTAGGCTTTTAAATGTGCCTCTGCGGCACACGGAACTTACCTCAGCCATGCCATTATGGCATTAACCCCACCATTGCACTTAAATAGATTACCTCCACAATGAGACCAAAAACATACCTGAACGACCAAAATACTGTTTCCCTCTCATCAAGCAGTGTCAGATCCAACCATGCAATGTTCTGGAAAGACATATATCTACATATACTGCTAATCATCAACACACAGTGACAACACTATCGTTTCAGATGATTAAAAGTTTGTACCAAGAGGTGAAGTAAAATAGGGATTAACATTGTGACAAGATTATTACATTTATACATCAACACGTACATGCTAGTGTATCTACTTCTCCCATGTACAATGAGATACCATGCTGCGTATTTAAATGTGGATACCTACTCTGACAATTAAACTGACTGTAAGCAAACCACTCCTTGTTTTATCCCCTCAATGCCAAGCAGGTGTGACACAACCCGCCTCGTCATAGCCCGAGTAAACATTGACATCCAAAAATATGTGATATCCAATACATTTTTTAAGCAGAGGGCCACACAGTGTCCGATCCAGCTGTCCTGATTTCTACCAGGTGATGAGAAGGCAAGTATGGTGTAACATTAATTCTCTCGGCGTTCAGTGAAGTGAGCTGGACAATTGCTGCATACTTAACAAGAGTCATCAGAAGATGACATATCCACCCGGCCCCCACATATTTGAAAGAACAAATCATCTGACAGTTACTTAAAGTCGAGCTTGACTTTTGTTAAAACTAAGTCCAAATCGTTTCTATGGAAATCATGAGAAATATAAATGCCAAAAATCTGTAAATAGCAAAAGGCACCATTTCAAAATTTGTCTAATATATCTGCCAAGTTCTGTTGAAAGAAACTGAACGCTTTTCGAGTTGTGCTCCGAAACTGAAACCCACCCCTCCCTTTTGGGCCTTAGTCCGAATCGTTTCCATGGAAACGGGGAAAAATAAATGTGCCAAAAATCTGCAAATAGCAAAAGGCACCACTTAAGGTTAAGGTTCTGTTTGATATATCTACCAAGCTTTGTTGAAAAATATTGAACGGTTCTTGAGTTATACTCCGCAAACGAAGCCTACACCTCCCTATTGGGACTAAGTCTGAATCGTTTCCATGAAAACCGTGAAAAATAAATATGCCAAAATTCTGCCAAATAGCAAAAGGCACCACTTTGGCATCTGCCTCACATATCTGCCAAGTCTTGCTGAAAGATATTAAGAAGTTTTCAAGTTGTTCTCCGGAAACGAAGCCCACCCCTTCCTTTTGGGACTAAGTCCGAATCGTTTCCACAGAAACAGGGGAAAATAAAAATGCCAAAATCTGTAAATAGCAAAAGGCACCATTTCAAAATTTGTCTAATATATCTGCCAAGTTCTGTTGAAAGAAACTGAACGCTTTTCGAGTTGTGCTCCGGAAATGAAACCCACCCCTCCCTTTGGGCCTTAGTCCGAATCGTTTCCATGGAAACGGGGAAAAATAAATGTGCCAAAAATCTGCAAATAGCAAAAGGCACCACTTAAGGTTAAGGTTCTGTTTGATATATCTACCAAGCTTTGTTGAAAAATATTGAACGGTTCTTGAGTTATACTCCGCAAACGAAGCCTACACCTCCCTATTGGGACTAAGTCTGAATCGTCTCCATGAAAACCGTGAAAAATAAATATGCCAAAATTCTGCCAAATAGCAAAAGGCACCACTTTGGCATCTGCCTCACATATCTGCCAAGTCTTGCTGAAAGATATTAAGAAGTTTTCAAGTTGTTCTCCGGAAACGAAGCCCACCCCTCCTTTTGGGACTAAGTCCGAATCGTTTCCACAGAAACAGGGGAAAATAAAAATGCCAAAATCTGCACATAGCAAAAGGCACCACTTAAGGTTCTGTTTGATATATCTACCAAGTTTTGTTGAAAAATATTGAACGGTTCTTGAGTTATGCTCCGGAAACGAAGCCCACCCCTCCCTTTTGGGACTAAGTCCGAATCGTTTCCACAGAAACAGGGGAAAATAAAAATGCCAAAATCTGCACATAGCAAAATGCACCACTTAAGGTTCTGTTTGATATATCTACCAAGTTTTGTTGAAAAATATTGAACGGTTCTTGAGTTATGCTCCGCAAACGAAGCCAACCCCTCCCTTTTGGGACTAAGTCTGAATCGTTTCCATGGAAATCATGAGAAATATAAATGCCAAAAATCTGCAAATAGCAAAAGGCACCACTTTGGCATCTGCCTCACATATCTGCGAAGTCTTGCTGAAAGATATTAAGAAGTTTTCAAGTTGTTCTCCGGAAACGAAGCCCACCCCTCCCTTTTGGGACTAAGTCCGAATCGTTTCCATGGAAATCATGAGAAATATAAATGCCAAAAATCTGCAAATAGCAAAAGGCACCACTTAAGGTTCTGTTTGATATGTCTACCAAGTTTTGTTGAAACATATTGAACGGTTTTTGAATTATGCTCCGGAAATGAAGCCCACCCCTCCTTAAAGACTAAGTCCAAAACGTTTCCATGGAAACCGAGAAAAGTAAAAATGACAAAAATCTGTAAATAGCAAAAGGCACCACCTTAGGTTCTGTTTGATATATCTACCAATTTTTGTTGAAAAATATTGAAAGTTTTTTGAGTTATGCTCTGGAAACAAAATGATTATGGACGGACGGACGGATAACAACGGGGGGATAACAACCGGGGGATAACAACCCCTCAAAATAACCTAAAGTTAGTAATATGCCATCACTGATGTTATATTTACGCATTTACTTGAAAAACCTGAAACCTGTACTTCAAGACAAAAAATAAACTAAGAGGGACAAAACAGAGACAAGGACGAGGTAGGTTGGGTTACCTTGATGATGCCTTTGAAGAGATCGGTTTTCCAGGGGAGACTGAACTGTTTTGGGATGATCACGTGGTCACCTGTGTGGTCCTTCCTGATAAGCCGAAAGTATGCGTAGCCATCACCTGGAATATGGCAGCCGCTAGAGTCTCATCCTTGAATATTCAGTATGCTATTGCTAGTGGTGTAACGAAACAGCAGTACAGTCTTGTATCGCAATACCAGGTTCACAATAAAATACATTGATTTACAAGATTTAGTATTCAATACATTACAGGTTCTACTGATACAAAAACATGTGAATAATAACAGAAACTGTTCATGCAGATTCTCTAGTATTTCCTGGTGCCCCCAAGCATGTATATTTCTCCCCTACAATATCCCATCTTTGCTCTCTGAAATTTGAAAACAAACAAAACATTCAGCAATGTGATTTACCTGCAAAAGGTAGAGAATATCACATCCATAGTATTTGCATAAAAATCATATCACACCCCTAGTATTGGGATACAAATTGTATCACACCCATATCATTGGGATACAAATCATATCACACTCATAGTATTGGGATACAAATCATATCACACCCATAGTATTGGGATACAAATCGTATCACACTCATAGTATTGGGATACAAATCATCACACCCATATAGTATTGGGATACAAATCGTATCACACCCATAGTATTGGGATACAAATCGTATCACACCTATAGTATTGGGATACAAATCGTATCACACCTATAGTATTGGGATACAAATCATATCACACCTATAGTATTGGGATACAAATCGCATCACACCTATAGTATTGGGATACAAATCGCATCACACCTATAGTATTGGGATACAAATCGTATCACACCCATAGTATTGGGATACAAATCGTATCACACCCATAGTATTGGGATACAAATCGTATCACACCCATAGTATTGGGATACAAATCGTATCACACCTATAGTATTGGGATACAAATCGTATCACACCTATAGTATTGGGATACAAATCGTATCACACCTATAGTATTGGGATACAAATCGCATCACACCTATAGTATTGGGATACAAATCGTATCACACCTATAGTATTGGGATACATATCGCATCACACCTATAGTATTGGGATACCAATCGTATCGCACCCATAGTATTGGGATACAAATCATATCACAACCATATTATTAGGATACAAATCGTATCACACCCATAGTAATGGGATACAAATCGTATCACACCTATAGTATTGGGATACAAATCGTATCACACTCATAGTATTGGGATACAAATCGTATCACACCTATAGTATTGGGATACAAATCGTATCACACCTATAGTATTGGGGTACAAATCGCATCACACCTATAGTATTGGGATACAAATCGCATCACACCTATAGTATTGGGATACAAATCATATCACACCATTATAGTATTGGGATACAAATCGTATCACACCTATAGTATTGGGATACAAATCGTATCACACCCATAGTATTGGGATATAAATCATATCACACCTATAGTATTGGGATACAAATCGTATCACACCCATATCATTTGGATACAAATCCTATCACACCTATAGTATTTGGATATGTATCCTATGGCTGCCCCACAGTATTGTTACACTGATCCATTTAAATACCAGTACCTTTGTTCTGGCGCCATTGCTCCCCTCTCAAAACACTTATTTTAACCATTGTGCCATTCAGGCTGAACATTCAGCAATGGTAGTTCATGTTTATCAAAACAGACTGGAGATGAAATACACTGAATAATCCACTACTATCTACTGAAATGTACACAGGAGACTGTTGTACTAGTCTGTGACTTCAACCACTAGTCTGGAGCCCAACATAGCAATTCTAGCGTTCTTGCTAAGCTCAACTGAAGGTAATCTGTGTGATAAAATACAAACATGCAGAAAAGGATAAGAAAGACATTTTGGGGAAGTCAACCTTCTTCGTCCCCGAATGCTGATGAGAGATGCCACCCAGTACTCACCAACGTCTTGCTTCCTGCAGTGAAGTCCCTGAAACTGTTGTGTCCATAGCGAGCTCCTCATGTTGCGGATATCCACTGTACATCGGTAGTCATGGAGACCTAGTCAACAACAATAGGACAGGCATCAACTCAGACTGAGTGAATGAGTGAGTGAGTTTACTCTTGCTCACTGTCACTGAATTTGTTTTCTACTATGACTACTCTATTGTTTTTCAATAAAGGAATGAGTGAGTGAGTGAGTTTTGGTTTTACGCTGCTTTTAGCAATGTTCCAGCAATCTCATGGTGGGGGACGCCAGAAATAAGTTTCACACATTGCACCCATGTCGGACCCGGGCCTTTGGGGTGATAAGCAAAAGCTTTAACCACTAGGCTACCCCACTCCCTCCCCATCAACTAAAAGAGATCACAGTAACACTGTTACACAAAGTCTTTGAAAATATACACCTTTGTATGTTTCTGTATTGTTGTATAGGAATCTAAATAATTCTGTGTCAACTGCTGTACCACTTATGACAAATCAATGTTAACACTTGACAGTAGAATTCCATAAACAATGGAGATGTACATTTTCATGGAACATATTGAATGAATGAGTATGTTTTTTCACTGCTTGTACGTAACAATATGCCAGCAATATCATGCTGGGGGACACCAGAAATGGGCTTCACACATTGTACACATGTGGGGAATCAAACTTGATGATGAGCGGGCACTTCAACCATTAGTCTACACCCATCACTTGTTGATTCTACTAAACAAATTCTCACAAATTCCACAATATGTATTCAACATTTACTGCTGCACTCTGCTTCAACCACTGTGTACTTGTTTCAACATGGAGTCTAGTACAGTTGGCTGGCAAAAAACACATAAACCACAGAAAATGAATTTCAACATTTTTTGGCCCTTAAAATACACAAATGTTAAACTTGACTCATGCTGGTTTTTTTGGCTCAATATCATCACCCTTACCGTAACTAGGGTCAATATCATCACCCTTACCGTAACTAGGGTCAATATCATCACCCTTACCGTAACTAGGGTCAATATCATCTGGTACCGGGGTATGACCAGGGAGTGGATATGCACTGAAAACACAAGTCACAAACATGTTTATACCTTTCATAAAAGTTTCCCTCAGAGTAATCAGTAACATGAAGCTGGTGGGAGAAGAGTGCTCAGTCCATCTTATGATAACAGAATTGTAATGAATCCAAAGAAGAATATATAATAGTGATGATATATTGTGCCCTTTGAATGTTAAAGTCATATTCCAGCTAAAGTCAGCTATTTCCAGGTACATTGCATGTTATATTCCAGTCATTGCATGTTAAAGTCAGCTATATTCCAGGTACATTGCATGTTAAAGTCAGCTATATTCCAGGTACATTGCATGTTAAAGTCAGCTATATTCCAGGTACATTGCATGTTAAAGTCAGCTATATTCCAGGTACATTGCATGTTAAAGTCAGCTATATTCCAGGTACATTGCATGTTAAAGTCAGCTATATTCCAGGTACAGCTATAAAGTCAGCTATATTCCAGGTACATTGCATGTTAAAGTCAGCTATATTCCAGGTACATTGCATGTTAAAGTCAGCTATATTCCAGGTACATTGCATGTTAAAGTCAGCTATATTCCAGGTACATTGCATGTTAAAGTCAGCTATATTCCAGGTAGGTGTTAAAGTCAGCTATATTCCAGGTACATGTTGTTAAAGTCAGCTATATTCCAGGTACATTGCATGTTAAAGTCAGCTATATTCCAGGTACATTGCATGTTAAAGTCAGCTATATTCCAGGTACATTGCATGTTAAAGTCAGCTATATTCCAGGTACATTGCATGTTAAAGTCAGCTATATTCCAGGTACTATGCATTTAAAGTCAGCTATATTCCAGGTACATTGCATGTTAAAGTCAGCTATATTCCAGGTACATTGCATGTTAAAGTCAGCTATATTCCAGGTACATTGCATGTTAAAGTCAGCTATATTCCAGGTACATTGCATGTTAAAGTCAGCTATATTCCAGGTACATTGCATGTTAAAGTCAGCTATATTCCAGGTACATTGCATGTTAAAGTCAGCTATATTCCAGGTACATTGCATGTTAAAGTCAGCTATATTCCAGGTACATTGCATGTTAAAGTCAGCTATATTCCAGGTACATTGCATGTTAAAGTCAGCTATATTCCAGGTACATTGCATGTTAAAGTCAGCTATATTCCAGGTACATTGCATGTTAAAGGTACATCATGTTAAAGTCAGCTATATTCCAGGTACATTGCATGTTAAAGTCAGCTATATTCCAGGTACACATTTAAAGTCAGCTATATTCCAGGTACAAGTGTTAAAGCAGCTATATTCCAGGTACATTGCATGTTAAAGCATTCCAGTTAAATTGCATGTTAAAGTCAGCTATATTCCAGGTACATTGCATGTTAAAGTCAGCTATATTCCAGGTACATTGCATGTTAAAGTCAGCTATATTCCAGGTACATTGCATGTTAAAGTCAGCTATATTCCAGGTACATTGCATGTTAAAGTCAGCTATATTCCAGGTACATTGCATGTTAAAGTCAGCTATATTCCAGGTACATTGCATGTTAAAGTCAGCTATATTCCAGGTACATTGCATGTTAAAGTCAGCTATATTCCAGGTACATTGCATGTTAAAGTCAGCTATATTCCAGGTACATTGCATGTTAAAGTCAGCTATAGCCAGGTACATTGCATGTTAAAGTCAGCTATATTCCAGGTACATTGCATGTTAAAGTCAGCTATATTCCAGGTACATTGCATGTTAAAGTCAGCTATATTCCAGGTACATTGCATGTTAAAGTCAGCTATATTCATGCTTATATATTCCAGGTACATTGCATGTTAAAGTCAGCTATATTCCAGGTACATTGCATGTTAAAGTCAGCTATATTCCAGGTACATTGCATGTTAAAGTCAGCTATATTCCAGGTACATTGCATGTTAAAGTCAGCTATATTCCAGGTACATTGCAAAAGTCAGCTATATTCCAGGTACATTGCATGTTAAAGTCAGCTATATGCATGCATGTTAAAGTCAGCTATATTCCAGGTACATTGCATGTTAAAGTCAGCTATATTCCAGGTACATATATTCCAGGTACATTGCATGTTAAAGTCAGCTATATTCCAGGTACATTGCATGTTAAAGTCAGCTATATTCCAGGTACATTGCATGTTAAAGTCAGCTATATTCCAGGTACATTGCATGTTAAAGTCAGCTATATTCCAGGTACATTGCATGTTAAAGTCAGCTATATTCCAGTCAGCTATATTATTCCAGGTACATTGCATGTTAAAGTCAGCTATATTCCAGGTACATTGCATGTTAAAGTCAGCTATATTCCAGGTACATTGCATGTTAAAGTCAGCTATATTCCAGGTACATTAAAAGTCAGCTATATTCCAGGTACATTGCATGTTAAAGTCAGCTATATTCCAGGTACATTGCATGTTAAAGTCAGCTATATTCCAGGTACATTGCATGTTAAAGTCAGCTATATTCCAGGTACATTGCATGTTAAAGTCAGCTATATTCCAGGTACATTGCATGTTAAAGTTAAAGTTGCAAAGTCAGCTATATTCCAGGTACATTGCATGTTAAAAGTCAGCTATATTCCAGGTACATTGCATGTTAAAAGTCAGCTATATTCCAGGTACATTGCATGTTAAAGTCAGCTATATTCCAGGTACATAAAGTCAGCTATATTCCAGGTACATTGCATGTTAAAGTCAGCTATATTCCAGGTACATTGCATGTTAAAGTCAGCTATATTCCAGGTACATTGCATGTTAAAGTCAGCTATATTCCAGGTACAATGCATGTTAAAGTCAGCTATATTCCAGGTACATTGCATGTTAAAGTCAGCTATATTCCAGGTACATTGCATGTTAAAGTCATCTATATTCCAGGTACATTGCATGTTAAAGTCAGCTATATTCCAGGTACATTGCATTTAATCTACTGACAGTGAAAAGAACCTTAACCAAGGTTTTCAGACTTGCTACCCCCGTGAAGATCCGGTTAGAATTGATCATCAGTAACCCATGTTTGTCGTAACGGGATCAGGTTATCAGACTTGCTGATTTGGTTGACACATTTCATCGTATCCCAATTGCATAGATCGATGCTCATGCTGTTGATCAATGGACTTTCTGGTCAAGACTCGATCATTTACAGACCACTGCCATATAGGTGGAATATTGCACAGTGCGACCTAAAGCTAAACACCCTCACTCTAATACTTGTGTGTGGACCATTAAGGGACTGACATCATGATCATCAATCCCAACATTTGAATACTATGACAGATATCAAACAAGTTTGTGAACATGACTATCCAATCCTGTAATCGTCTGGTTGGGCAAGCATGGCCTGCTGCAGACCAATTCTAACTAACACCTGATTGACAACACAATGTAATTTAGATCTGTGTGCAGTTTATGAAATAAGGCCTGTCCATCCGCCCAAGGCGGCGGTTCCACACATCTGAGTAAATTTAGTATATCTTAAAATCTAATCCAAATTGAGGGTTACGTTTAGACAATTACTGTTTGAAAATTGAACTATTGTATCGCAAGCTCAAAGCACTGTGTTGACATATCGATGCACAGGGTTTCGTAAACTAAACAGCTCAGCTCGTATGATTCAAAATCATTGAAATTTTCTTTGGATTGTATGGTCTGGTTAAATCCATTTTGGGCTGGTAACATTTGAAGTTACCAGCCCTGATGTCTGGCTGGGTTTGGGGCTTATGTCATACACTGCTGTATGGGAGCACTTCGGACCTGTTCAAACCCTAATTCCAACAAGGCCCAGTGCAGTAATCCATATTAATGCCTGAACTGTTATTCAACAAGCATTCTCATGCATTCACTGCATATTTCCAGGACAAACGTGTAAACCAGTTCACCACACAATAAGGTTCAGCAATCTGGTTTCTAAATTCTTTGTCTATCAAAATATCTAATGAATAATGTCACCAGAATTGTTTATCTACCTTTTGATGGTGCCCAGCAAGCATCTATGTACCAGCTGTAGATGGTGGTAACCCACGGCAACAAACGCCAACTCACCATCTGCCTGTGGAAGAGGACAACGATTTACAAAGACATGTAAATTCAAGAAGAAGTTGACATCCATAATATTTTGTCTTATACTTGAATACCAACTTCTATATGCCTCTCAAGAACCTCAAGATTTATTGAGGAGGGACAACAACATATGGATGAACAACGTCTCTATTACAGTGTACTGTATAGTGTAGTAATGAAGTTGTTTATCCCTATGTTGTTATCCCTCCTTACTACTCTGCTCTTCTAAATGCCTCTAAAAGGGTGATTTCAAAAAGAGATTTTGTCTTCTGGTGATAAGATTATCAGAAATGTCATGAGATAATTAACATTCGATATCACATGGACCAAGAATATGTGATTCTTAGATATCATTGCAGATTCTTACCTAGGACAAAAATGGGAAATTAGATATTCCTAACTTCAGCCATCAGATATGCAGTTAAAGAGGTTGATGAACCCCCTACCTTCCATGTGGCAACAAGGAGATCAGATGCAGGCACAGCATACAACACGATGGTGTCATTGGCGGCCACGGGCGTTGTGTCCTTCACATAAACACTCCACTTGAGGTCAGTGCTGGTCATCAGTGACCTCTGGTAGGGTCTGCAGGAAAATGGCAGTCAAATGACATCACACACTGTCTGATTTCTAACCTAATGCCACGCTTGGGTACAGTATTGAATGTACATGTATCTTGCTGTCTCATAATGATGTACTGAGATGTACTACTTTCATATGACTATTGTTGACAGATTCTACTTTTCACTTGTAAGACATGTTTCAAGTTTTGCAATGGAACTGAACTAGAATCATATACACAACTCTTTCATATGCATCTATCATTGATTTTGGATTAGTAGAAGTCCACACAAAAATTCACATTAAAATGATAAGCTGAGAACAGAATCTGCACACTCCCGGTTTAGTATTGCAACCCATTGTTTAATTGATGTGCTCATGAAAGCATATTCAACCTTTTAAGTAACTTCAGTTACTTCAGGTCTTACTCTCACTCACTGTCACTGAAGTTGTTTTCTACTATGACTACCGGTACTCTATTGTTTTTCAGTAAAGGAATTCCAGTGTTTTTCATTCTTACTCCTAATTGCATTCAGATGGTTTAGAATTTGGATAAATGTTTTCTCAAAAAAATGAAAACACTCTCTCTTTGTCATGCTTACATTTTCAACTGAAAAATCAGATTTGTTATTCATCTTTTATGTCAGCAATGTTCACCAAGAAGATAGTCTAAGAACAAGGGTGTCTATTAGAACATGGACGTGCAGTGCAAAAGTACTGTTGACTTATGATTACAGAGACTTATGACACCCTACACCTGCTACAGCTGTCCCCTTACCCATTCCGGACGGCATGACCTTTGTCATCAAAGAACAGAGGATTGCAAGAGAAGACTTTGAGTTGCTTGATTCTGTTTAGGGGGACATTGGTGAGGCTGTACCAGCGCACTGCTATAGACATGCTGTGGTGGAATACGTCACACGTCATACTTTCGTGCTCTTTTCCATCGCTGTCAATCAAACACAGCTGAAACCACACACCTGCACATCTGCAACAAAAGGAAATTCTGTATCATTACAGGGACTTATCTGATATTCAGCCCCAAGTCTACAGCAAATAGGGCTGGGACGGGTAGGAAAAATTGGAATTGAGTACCCGCATGTACTTTCCTGAATCGGAATCGAGTACCCAGAAATGTAAGGAATACAGCGCTTCTGTCAACTTTCTGAATATTATAGAAAACTTATAAGGGTGGCAATAAGACATTAAAATGATCTCAAGCTATATAATTTACGTCTGTTTAACCAATATAAAGAGTAACACCATTACTTACATTGCTCGTTAAAATAAACTTTTCGTTCCAACTGTTACTGTAACTTGACTACTCACTGCACATGCGCAGATAAATTAAAGTCGTTAATAATAACCCCCATTAATCGGACAATACCATTGATGTAAATGTGTTACGTTATAATGAAAAAGACAAGTTATTATCTGCCCTTGTCATTACAGAGTTTTCTCCCTTTCCGGGTACTCGAGTCCGAGAAATAGGACTCGATTCCAGCTGTACCCGACCCGGATTCGAGTACCCGAGTACCCGTCCCAGCCCTAACAGCAAATGTCTGTATAAATTCCCAAATCATATTTGAACATCATGCTGTTATGGGTAAACCTAATGTCATCATGGTTGTGGCTAAGTAGATTTGTAATTTGTATTTGGACACTGATAACAGGACAAATATAGAGAAAGATGCTTGGAGGAAAACCAGGTTCTATGGATAGTCAACTTCTTTATTGCAATGAGTGTGATGTTTCGGTGTAGGTACTAACACCGTTATCACGCTAACTGTTACGCTAACTGTTAGTAGCTACAGTTAAATGTCACACTCATTGCAATAAAGAAATTGACCATCCACAGGACCTGGTTTTCCTTCATCTTTTCAACTTCTAAAATGCTTGTCAAAATATATACCTCTCAAAGAAGGAAGATGCTTATATCATGTCTCTGCTTTGTTTAACTTTACTGAATTGAATTGAATTGAATTGAATGCAGTGTAAAATTAAGAGTTTTAATACATCTGAAGCAAATAATATCTGAGATGACAATGGCATATATTGTATGACAAATAATGGTGATGTGAGCTGATCATTATGTGTTTATTTGTTGACTGGCGTACAAATATCAGTATCACCAGTGTTTCCGCTGGCCTTTTTTACAGCTGGACATTGTGACCGGTTTAGCATTTCAAGTACCGGTAATTTGTAAATTGTACCGGTCAAGTGATCACGCTTTTCATTGAGTGAGACCTTGCACCCTAACAACCAATAAGAAATGTAGAGGGTATCACAATGCGTCAGTGATGCTATTTTTAGCCAGGGTTAATAAAAAACTGCTATTTTTTATTTGACAACACCTCGATGTCATTGTGAACACGTAATCTTTTTGCGAGGAGAAATATAATTGAGATGGGTAATTAGAAAATTGATTTTAAAATTTGCCGGACACAATGACCGACAGCCTTTGAAATTACTGGACATTCCAACTTTGTACCGTTCAAAGTCCGGTAAATACTGGAAAACGGAAACACTGATTACATGGACCAGAGTCTTCTGAATTGATTTAAAAGATGAGAGTACTAAAATTTAACAAGAATGTACTAAGATCTGTACAAAATTACTGAAAAATGAAGAGTGGATGGCTAACATGTACTGATTGGAAGACTACAATGAATACCTCAGAGCTTTCTCTGTAAATCTTGGCAATCCAGTGTAAGGGTGCATCTTTTTCAGTAACTTCAGACAAGTCTTGTTTCGTTTTTCTGTGCACCTGAAATACAGAAGGTGCAAACAAATCATATAAAGGACTGACCATTTCATCATCTTGGAGATTTAAAAAAAATTCATTACCACAAAATGATGGAAAAAAATACTTTCCCTTCAGTTTGACATAATATAAATTATTCACCGGACATACTTGATGTTCCAAATATGGTCTTAAAAATGCTGGAGTCTTGAAACTGATTGCACAAAAATAATAGTGTGTCTCAGACCAATATAGTTGAACGTTGCTTAGTGCCACAGTTAATTATAGTCAGATGTATTGTAACAACAAAGCCCGGGTCAAGCAAGCCTGGGGTTGATAGCATGAGCACTGATTTAGTGGACAATGTCTAAAAATATGCCAACTTTAGGTACTGGTATCTCCATGGGTACAAATTGCCATGTAAGGTATGATATTTTTTTATATCTTTAGTGATTACTTAAAGAGCAACTAGACAAGAGAAGTCATAAATATAACATTTACACCTACACTGGAATTTGCATGTAGCATGATACTTACTATGCAACCTTTGAGAAAAGAGAGTTGCATTTTTTTATATGCCATTTTTATCATTTTTATTCACATTATTATGGACATTTTACAATTTTACATTACAGTAAATGGATAGATATGCCAGTTGATGTTCAGTACCTATGTGCCCATGTGGGGAATCGAACCCTGGTCTTTGATATGACAAGTGAACGCCTTAACCACTAGGCTACCCCACGGCCCCAGTACCTAAGTATACCTAAGTAAATATATCATGAAATATAATGTATGTATTGTATGTTTTCTTATAATTTATCACCCTAAAATTCCGGGAAACTAAATGATTAGTATGCTTCAAAATGCAGAATGTTCACCTGAAAGAGCTGGAACCACATATAAGCAGCGTGTTCTGATGTTCCTACCGTTTGATACACAGTTGTTTCCAGTACTCCAAAGGAGGTCGCAGTGGCTTGCCTCCCTCATCTTTCACTGTGGTACCATGTGTTCGGAATATCTTCTCCCATAGCAGACTAGGAACGAAATAATAACCATCACAACACTTGAAATGTTTAAGTCATTTCTTAAAGCTTCGACAAACTTTATAAGAAAACTGTGGACAGTCTAGGGTCATTCCCTGACACATCTTACAACTCAGCCATGAAAAACACCTGCACAGTAAGTCAAATGGGGTAAGGAAATAACACTGTAAATATTTTCTTTCAACTTATTCTTTCTACTCCACCCCATCTTTGATAAATCACTTCAGAAAATACAATTTACTTACTTATTCATTTTTTTATTTTTAAAGCTGGAACAGTATGCGTTTGAAGAAATCTGGACCGCCACTAACAGAAAATAGGCCTGACACAATCTGATTATGCTAGTATATAAATCCTACACTGGCTTAGGTCTTGCTCTGGTATGTTCTGGTAATATCACTGGCATTATTCAGCATGTGTGTTGTTCAACATACATGACTCATACAAAACACGAGTCACCAAATACAAGGCCTATTTAAGGATATCTAGCCCCTATGCATATATCTCACTTGTCATTCGCTTGTTTGTGCCACCTTTTGCATACACAAGCAGCTTTTAGCAGATCCTGAGCTTCCAAACGGCTAAATATCTCCAACATAATCTCATATGGAAGACTGAAACAGAAAAATTCAGTTTAGATAATCCATCATGTGACCCTAAGAAATTGGTCATTCAATCATGCAGTGATTCTGAACCTTCAAACATGTCTAACATATCTGAAGAAGATCTAGTTTTTCACATGTAAATGTTTTTATAACCATTTAACTTGTCCTATTTTTCAAATGTCAAGATCCAAAGTTCTTTAAAATGTGAAAAAATCAAGAAGTAAACTCAAGGAGTCCTCGTTAATTTTGTCATAAGGGACCGTTCATAATTTATGACTAGGGGGGTTGATGATGATTTTTATGGAGAAGCATAATTTTAAAATATTTTTATGTACAAAATTGCTGACCCCCCCAGTACATGTGTACAAACTTGATGCCCCCTATCTGCAAGAACAAAATGGGTCCCCATCCCCTTCAAAATCATCATCACCCCCTAGCAATAAATTATGAACGGTCCCTAACAATAATTTTAAAGGTCACATGCAATGTAAAACACAACTTTGCAGATTCTGATACCTTTCGGTATGGACTTACCAAAACAAATCGTCAAAAATGCAAATTCAACTTATAAAGTTGAAAAATAACGCGATGAAAAAAAAAAACCGTGCGAAATTGTAGTTCAAACGATTCACTAACTTTCCCCAAGCGCTTGGGGGAATTGAAGTGGTTTCAACAGCTGGGCTGCGCTCATAGCACATGCGCAATGAAATAGGTTCGCGGAGCTTGGAAGTGGGTTGTCCGGTGAATACATGTATTCGGTGAAGGCTTTGGTGTGAGCTATTTTTCTAATGTTTTGTTGATATTTCACAGGCGCGAGCTTTTTACATGTTATTACAGTAGATTACCGATTTAACTGTAAATATAATTTCATTTGTCTATTTCACCACACGTTCTTCTTACCGAGTCACTTTCTCAGTTCGATACTTAAAAGCAAGTCATTATTTAGCATCGACAGAATTTCTAACTGTGATATAGATATGTCGTTGTCACAGACAAAACTCAATGTCTGTTTTATTGGCACCTATGTGTCTGCTAATGACGATATTCAATACACAATTTCAATCACTGACCACATGCAATTTGAACTTAACACCTATCAGGCTATACACCATAAACAAAACGCATTGATTTATGGCCCGAGTTCGGTCTCTGTCACATTATGTAATTACACAGACAGGCAGGTGTGATACTTGAACACATGACATGTTATGATGTCTGTTGATTGCAAAATGTTATACACAAAAAAATGAGCATGTATTTACAAAACCCAACATCTCTATATATACACACACAATGAGCCGTGAGGGCATCTGCAAATGAAGCAGCCGTTACACTTGAGTGCACACCTACCCGCTCTGACTGGGTTCGGTATCCCGGCTACTTCATTTCTTGGGAAGTAAACCCAAGTACAAAATATTGCACTTTTGATTTGCGATTGTACGCTTATAATTTTGTTTTTATGTTTTTTCATAACCAGCAATGTATATTATATGTCATGAATAAGTGATAATTGTGTTTTAATTATGTTTGATTTTTTGGTTGCATGTGACCTTTAAACAAAAAGATGAAGAGTCTCCCTAGATTCCAGTGCCATAGACCAGCAAATCTCATTGGGGCCCCACAATGAAACTCACCCACATTTCATGCTATCTATGACCTAGACAAATACTGTGAACAAATTCATTTGTGTATGAGTGGGAACAACTCATTATTTGTATAAATATGTATGACATGCAACGAGTATTAAGAGAAGACCCACTGTTCTATTGTCGCCTTTCCTTTTATCAGTGGTGGAGGTCGTCTTCGACTGTTAGTGACTGCAGTGGTATTTCTTCCACCTTTTGCTCTGAAAGAGGAAGCAATTTTACTTTCCTTGTTGTTTTAGTACTATTTGCTCATCATGCTGGTAACTCTTTCCGTTCATTTCTGTAACATCTCAGGAACGACTAGATATATTTGCACCTTGTGTAATCATGTGGACGTAGTTTGTTTGGTTAGTTGTCGGGCTAACAATCCAAAGGTCGTGGGTTTGTGCCCGACGGATTCTTACAAAACTGGTTGCTTGTCTTAGTGACACATGACCTACGACAGAGACCATCCACACGAGATGATACGGAGCTGTATTCTAAAGGTGCTTCAAATTATATGCTACAATGATTTAGTCGATTTGTTATTCTGACACCTTACAAATATGAGCTCATATCCTACCTTGCATTTTCTACAGGCTTTGTTGATTTTTTATCGTTTCCGGGAGTCATAAGAGTGTGTCTAGTGGAACTACTGTTTCCTCCTCCACCGCTTGGACTTGAATCACTGTTGCCAACAGTGTTGGTGTGCTGTTTATTTTTATGTTTATCCAAGTATCCAGTAAGATGTCGTCTATGGTGGGATGAACTTGCCATAGTTCACTTCTGTCGGAACTATAAACGCTGGTTCGCAGGGCGTGTTTATCCTATGTTTCACCAGAGACCGTTTCACCTATATCCCAACATAGCAGTCGCTGTAACCCATGTAAACAAACTTTCCGGATACGGAAATATCATAATAAAAGACGGAAACAACAATTACGCTAATGATATAGAGCTGTGCCGTTGCAATTACAATACTGTTGACCTCCTTTCACTGTTTAAACGCTACTTGTAGAAGAATACATAAATACAGTACAAAAATATATCAATGGAAGCTTCATATGTCGCTTATTTTCTTGTTATATTTCCCGTCCGGTTAATGTATCACAATTCAGCGCATGCGTCAACCTTTCTAAGCCTCCTAAGCGAGAGAGGTTCAAGAAAAGGATGATAAAATGTCAACATCTTGTAAAATTTACATATATAGTTCACAATTAATATATTAATAGATAATGGAAGAGTCGAGTGAGGGATCTAACAGCGGAGAACTGAACTCAGAGGAAATCATACCCGACACTGAAGAAAGCAATGGTACGTCTTTCCAGTTCCCTCGTTAAGAACTATTCAGAATATTCCCTAATGTGGTGTGTCATGTAACCAGTCGGTTTGTTATTACAGACATATAAGAGCATAATGTGTTAGTTGTAAATTATACAACATATATCTAACGATCATCATGCGTTTGTGTTTAAAAATGCTTAAATTTCAATACAATGTTGACCAATGGCTGATATAGTCTTGGCAAATGTGGCTAAATCAGCACATAAATCAGGTAGGTTTTTCATGCACATCCCTAATATCGATAATTGCATATAGAAACAAAACCCCAGATAGAACCTGTAAAAATTGGTGGCTGAACCTGCACTGTCATATAAACTTTTATGTAATTATCATTACTTTTGATGAACTACAGCAGCTAGTGCTCATATTGACAGGCGGGTGCAGGTTAAAATGGAACCTCAGCAGAATGTCAGAATGTCACACAGCCCTCCCGAAGGTTATGCTAAAATGTAGGATGTCACTAACTGTCAGCATATTTCTACACAGCACTAACCATGCTATCATTTTTGTCATCTTCTTATTCTGTTTTTGTCGGTACGATGGGTTACCCTTGTGGTTAAAGAGTTTGCTAATCACAACGAAGACGTGAATTCGATCCCCACATGGGTACAATGTGTGAAGCCCATTTATGGTGTCCCCTGCTGCGATATTGCTCGAATATTGCTAAAAGCAGTGTAAAACCAAACTCAATCACTATTCTATTTTTGTCACAGTATTTCCAGCTTATTCTCGCACAGGACTAACAATGTTGTCAGCTATCATCGTCACAATACAATGTCACATTTTACAGACAGCAAGTAAATTGGAGTAGGGGATTATTTCTGATTATAAACAAATATTATGGCGATAGCATTCTGGCAGTATGTGTTATACTTTACTTGATTTCCAAAATTGAATGATACCATACCTTAATGAGTCATTGTTTACTAAAAATACATGAGAATGTCCTTGTTTAAAACTCCGTCCATCCTTTCGTCAGTGCACATTCATTGTTTCTGGAGCAGAACATAAAACGTTCAATATTTCTTCACCCAACTTGTCACATAGATTAGAGAGGTCTGGTGGTGAACTGGAGCCTTTTGGTAGTTTTGTATTTCTGAATAAGATAAGTTTTGCATTTCCATGGCAACAAGTTTGACTTCGACTGAAATTGGTGTTGGTGCTCTTTTCCAGGAACAGAACTTTAAAACCGTTCACTATTTCTTCACCAAAGGGCTCCAGATAATTTTTCAACATCAGGAGTATGTACTCCTTATTTTTGCAGTATGGGAGTACTGGAAAACCTTAAGAGTACATTTCGAGTACTGAATGGAATTTAATGCAGTATCAGTAATCTTGTGTTTCGTTTCATATATGCACCACAACATTGCTACTCTTGTGTAAATGGAGCAATAAACAATAAAATAATACGTTTTCAGATAAATACATCTGTAAATGATTCTGAGACTGTACACCACTGGTGTGGTGCGTATCCACTGAGTTTTCTAAATTATTTCCCACCGTATCATGCATATTTTTTAGCCGTACATAAGGCCCTTATCTGGAGCCCTGTTGGCACATAGGTAGGTCAGGTGGAGTACTGGTGCCTTTTGGTAGTTTTGGCTTTCTGAATAAAATATTGTTCTGTTTTCATGGCAACAGGGTTGACTTTGACTGAATTTAGTGGTAGTGCTCCTTTCTGGAGCAGAACTTCAAAACCTTTCAATACTTTCCTTCCACTTTGCTATATACACACCAAAACATTTGACATAGTCATAACTAGTTGACATATTCATGAAGAGTATTTTGCCATTGCGGGGAATATTGGTTTTGTCTTCTTGTTGCAGATAAGTTATCTTCCCCAGCTGGCCTCAGCATTCATCAGTGTGGAATCTGTGATGCCAGCTTCCCTCTTCTCATTCAGTATCTCAAACACAGGATAGATCGTAAGTGTTTGTTTGTTGTTTAATGCTGCACTGAGTAATATTCCAGCTATTTGGTGGCAGTCTGTAAATAATCAAGTCTGGAGAAGACATTCCAGTGATCAACAGCATGAACATCGATCTACGCAAATTGGATATGATGATAATAAAATTATATGTGTCATCTAAGTCAGAGAGGCTGTACACCCAAATTACATTGCTCAATTACATTAAAATAATGTTCACACCATTTTTTAGTGTAAATAAAGCCTCATCCTGTAATAAAGAGGGTGCACAGATGCATATTTTGGAATATTACATGTACGTTGCATGCTGTTTTCCTATGCGGGTAAACAAACGTTTTGAGTCTTCATGCTTTTGCTTTCTCATGTTCCAAGTAGCAGGGTTAGTTGCAATAATTATTGTACACTAGCTCCAATACGGATTGCCTCGTAACAGTTCATGAGGCAAAATGATCAGGACATCACTTCATCAAGTGATTCAAACAGTCTCATTCAAATCAGATCTTGTACTCTGATACAATCTCTTCAAGATCTAAGGACACCTGCACTGGAGTTCAGCATCAGGTGGATAATGAATGATCTTTATAAATAAACAGGGACGGTGGGGTAGCCTAGTGGTTAAAGCGTTCGCTCATCACGTCGAAGACCCGGGTTCGATTCACCACATGAGTAGTGTGAGAAGCCCATTTCTGGTGTCCCCTGCTGTGATGTTGCTGGAATATTGCAAAAAGAGTTGTAGAACTAAACTCACTCACTCACGCACTCACATAAACCTGTCTATATTATCCCTGTTATGCTCACTGTCCATATGTTTACCATCTAAATGTAGCTTTGGTAGAAAAATACATTGAGCTGTACCAAATATTTCTTTGTCATATTGTTTTGAAACCAGACCATATCTAAGTGTACCCTGATTTTAGAGAATGAGCTTATCCACGTTAAAGGCTAGTCATTATCAGCCATTGTGTATTTGACCTGGTGTTAACATTTTGTTAATGTAATTGTCATAATTGTAAAGTCGAATCTGCTACTCTGGTGTGCTACTAATTTCTGAATTGAGAGCTGAGAGCTGTATTTTTAATCAGAGTGGCATACTCGATTTCAGTGTCTCAAAAATGGATACAAACATGCTGTTCTGAAAGGAAAAATATAAACTGCTCTTCATATACTTATTTGAAGAAGTTATGGATCACCTGATTCTTCATATTACTATTCCAGATCAAGCTGTAATGAAATAATAGTTTGTTGCTTTTTAAAGCTGACATCTCAGCAGGGTTTATCCGACATGCAAATGTGTGTCCAAATGTAGAGACTGGACACTGAAAACAAATTCACTAGGTGGTCAAAGTTTACTCTGGTCACTTGATGTAACCTCATTGTGGGTGTTTGTTGTCAGACCGTCACATACACAGACATTGTATGAGGGGTGGGTGCATTGGGGGGTGGGGATGTTGTAAAGGATCTGACTTTAATGTGATGTTGTTACATGTTGTTGCAGATGCAGGTCCACAGAGTGGGGTGAGCTGTGAGCTGTGTGGTACGGCCTACTCCCGTCCTTCCCCGTTACGGGAACATTACAAGAAGAAACACAGGATCAGTTTTAATAGCAAACCACCCTTGCCAAAATCTACAGATAGACAAGGACTGAAGCTGGTTGAGCCAGGTTGTTCCCCAGGGAGACAATTCAGTTTGGACTCTAACGATTCCCAACCCACCACTGATGATAGCAATGGAACTAAAACTATTCATGTTGTCATCACAAGGGAAGAAGATGAAGAGAAGGCCCGATATGAACAAGAACAAGAAGGAAATGACTGTAGTTCGGATGAAAACGACATAACTGAGAGTAAGCACTTGCAGGAGGATGGCAGGGAGGATGTTGAAAACGACGACTTTCAGAATGATATTGACAACAAAGCAGATGAAATGCAGACTGATGGGGATGTTGACAGGATGGATGTTGATGAGGCGAAGTGTGAAACTGAAGGGGAGTCTTCGGGAATCAAACAAAGACACAGACTCAACTGCTAGTCCTGAAAAGGCTGGTACTCAGCAGTCTTTACAAGGTTACAATGAAGCTGAAGACTTCCATTTTGTACTGCTGAAAAACATGATCAATGGGAATTCATTCAAGTACAGTAAAGATAGGTTTAAGTGCTTACATTGTGAGTTTCAGAGTTACTGGAGGAACTCAATGTGTACTCACATGAAACAAATGCATAGAGACATGATGTCAATACATCAGAACATTCAGATCAAACCACTGGAAGCCCAGTGTAACCAAGGCGATCAGAGCATCATGAAAATGTCAGATTATATCGCTATCTTAAAACAGAAGAAAACCAAATCAGTTGAGTGTAGGATTCGAAGTGTTGAGAAGCAGGACTTGCCTGGAGAGTACTGTTGTAGTAAGTGTGGCAAGGAGTTCAACAGATTACGATATCTACGCAAACACATGTTAGTTCATAAATCTGACAAGAAGTATCTATGCGATGAGTGTGGGAAGGCATTTAAGACTCGCAGTTATTTGAAGACTCATTATCGAACCCACAAGTCGAGGGAATATAAGTGTAGCCAGTGCAACTTCTCATCGTCTGTTAATGCCGTCATTCACGCTCATCGTCAGCTGCATAATGATGGCAGCGTTATATGTGATGTATGTGGGTTTGCCTACGCAGATAAGTCAACTCTGAAGAAGCACAAACTAGTCCATGACCCTAATCGTCCATTCCCATGCACGTTCCCAGGCTGTACATGGAGGTTTCGGACAGAGGTTATGTGTCTTGGCCACTACAATTCCCACACAACAGAGGGCAAGTATCGCTGCAGCGTGTGTAGCTACATCTTCCGTACAAGCACCATCTCCAGAGACATCAGAGCAACATGCATGGCATCACCAACACCACAAATGTCACCATCGTTGAGGAGGAAAAGAAAGAAGAGAAAGAGACCCCAGTCTCCAATATTCCTGACACTGTTAACCTGATAGTCAATTCCGATATGAGTCGGGATCAGCTACAAAGTGCTCTACAGAATGGGCAGTTGGTGATTGCCACCGATAGTGAAGGGAATACAATAAACTACGAAGTAGCTGACATAACTATGAATGTAACTTATCACACACTTCTTGAGGAAGATTCTCAACTAGGGGACACCCAGGCTATACTCCATGTAGCTACCATTGATTCTCATGATCCCAGTTAATGGTTCTTATGTTTAGTAATGCTAGATGCTTGCTTTGTAACTCAACAGTGAAGTCATGATACAAGACTGGTTGCAATATATTCAGTTGAGCCAGGACTGAAGCCTATAGAAGAGTGCAACTGGTGGATACCAGTATCATAGGTTTGAATCCAGGATTGGCCCTGATCCTTGGTGTGTCTAAACTGTACCATAATGATCAACGTCTGTGATCTGCATCACTTTGAGATTTTGTCCCACATAACTGCAAACATTGGTGAACTCTGCTTTAAGACAGTAGGAATTCAGCTTGTTCAGAGGAAATTGAAGAATCTAGTTCCAGTGGTCCGAAGTGAACACTGATCCTTTCAAGGAATATTTTAACAAAGTTAACTTGGAATCAAGCAATGGGGAAAGTTTTAGAAGATTTCTGTAATATTTGCAATAGATTTTGTTTAGTAGAGTTTGTTTTGAGACTGTAAAGCTCTCCAAAACTCACAACAAAATGAGTCCCATGTCAACTCAAATGTGTGAATGTGAACAGTACTAACAGAGGTTGCATGACTGGGTGTATTTAACCTTGATATAGCTTGCTAGAGTTCCAGAATGACAGCAAGAACTCAGGGAATGTGCAATAAACAAGTGTGTTGTTACTGTGAGTGAACTGTTAGAAGTCATGTATAACCTGAATGTCATGTGTACTGACAGATGACTGTTGTTTTCTACACTTGTAAACAGCATGCTAATGAATAATGAATGGGTGTACAGGTGTTCATGTATGACAGGTGTTCATGTGTTGAAGTATGATGGGTGTTGATGGGTGTACAGGTGTTGATGTATGACAGGTGTTCATGTGTGTTGAAGTATGATGGGTGTTGATGGGTGTACAGGTGTTGATGTATGACAGGTGTTCATGTGTTGAAGTATGATGGGTGTTGATGGGTGTACAGGTGTTGATGTATGACATGTGTGACAGGTGTTCATGTGTTGAAGTATGACAGGTGTGCAGGTGTTGATGTATGATGAGTGTACATGTGTCGATTTATGATGGGTACACAGGTGTTGATGTATGACAAGTGTGTAGGTGTGGATGTTTGATAGATGTACAGGTGTCAATGTATGATTGGTGTACAGGTGTTTATGTATGACAGGTGTCCATGTATGAGGGATGTACAGATGTTGATATATGACAAGTGTGCAGGTGTTGATGTTTGACAGGTGTACAGGTGTCAATGTATGATGGGTGTACATGTGTTGATGTATGACAGGTGTACAGGTGTATGTATGATTGGTGTACAATGTATGAGGGTATGATGGTGTACAGGTGTTGATGTATTATGGGTGTACAGGTGTTGATGTATGATTGGTGTACAGGTGATGATGTATGATTGGTGTAGAAGTGATGTATGACAGGTGTTCAGGTGGCAATGTATTATGGATGTTCAGGTGTTGATGTATGATTGGAGTACGGGTGATGTATGACAGGTGTTCAGGTGTCAATGTATTATGGATGTACAGGTGTTGATGTATGATTGGAGTACAGGTGTTGATATATTTCAGGTGTACTGGTATTCATGCAGCACCCCACCATGGTGATCATGCTGCAAGCTGAAATACCATGTCTTGTGCTAGTCAGAAAATACACGGCATGGGGATCATTCAGGTGAACACATGATAAACAAGATGCCCACAGATCAGAGAGTTATTAGAATGTGTTGTCGAAAATAGTTTTCACACTATTTCCAGTATCAAGGGCAGTCAGATTATACCTTTCCAAATGGAACTTCTTTGCTTCTATTTCAGCATGTGTAAATATTGTGTACAATACTTGTACTGACATCAGCATGATTCTTAGTAGTGTAAGTTCCAGGCCCTTGCTATTTCTACTTCTACACACTTCTATGTTTCTGGTATGTAAATTGCCTCTGTTCACCCAGCAGAAAATGGGTACCCGGTGGGATAAAGTCATGTAACCATAACCCTCTTACGCTTAACAGGCAGCTTGGGTTATCCGGGGTAATAATAATCAGGTTGTTTGGGCGCTTCGAGCATGCTTGTACATGGAGCAATGCGCATGATAAATGGACTGTTATTATTATTATTATTAGTAGTAGTAGTAGTAGTATGTGTTCTTGATAAAGTTACAACTACTAGGTTACATCATATACAAGGCAGCCGTGATGTTGCTGGAATATTGCTAAAAGCGGCTTAAAACCAAACTCAGTCAGTCAGTCATATACAAGGAAACAAGGGAAGCTTCATAACAACTGTTGATTTGGGACAGGTACAAAATCTGTCATTAGTTAAGCAACAATAAATGTAATGCATCAGAAAAATGTATCAGGATTAAATGTGAAAAAGGCTATTGTCAAAAAATATGAGCGAGTATGAACTATTTCTGCCAGATTATGTACATCTTTGTACAGCTGTTGACAAGTAGGTATTCCCACTGGTCATTACGGGGCGGTTGGGTAGCCTTGTGGTTAAAGGGTTAGCTCGTCAGGCTGACAGCCTCAGTTCAATTACCCACATGAGTGCAATGTTTGAAGCCAATTTCTGGTGTCCCCAACCGTGATATTGTGGAATATTGCTTAAAGCGGCGTAAAACCCAACTCACTCACCCTCTGATTATTACAGATGGTACAACTGAACTATGTTGTGTGGGAAACAGTAGGTGCAGTTGACTTCTCGTGCTCAAGACCCATGTTCAATTCTCTTCAGTGTGTGAAGCTATTTGTGACATGGCTGGAATATCAGTGAGACTTAAACACACCAGCTCTGGTATATTCTCTGTCAGTCTCTTGATTTGGAGGAATAAAGAACATCATTTAACTCATCTCTGATTTCATTATTTTATTTATCAACAAAACTGACCAAAAAGCTACAATATTATACTGTCAATGGATTATATTGGAAAACATTGTTGACACTTTAAAAATACTATTGTATTATCTTAAAACATTCCTGCTGAGTACACCTTCCCTGAGCAGCAAAAACTAATTAATTATTTTATAGGGGTTGGTACAGGACCAAAACAGTTGATTGTATCAGAGATGTAGGATGCAGAATATGTCTGTAACCTGACAACCAGTATAGTCACAGTAATATCGGGTTATTGGAATATTACTGTGCACAGCGTTAAAGAAAAATTGAGTCTATGTACTGAAATCTCACAATCTGTTTCACTTGAAGATCCTGGTTAGAACTGATTTTCAGTAACCCATGCTTGTCGCAAGAGGCGATTAACGAGATTGGATGGTCAGGATTGCTGACTTGGTTGACACATGTCATTGTATCCCCATTGCATAGTATGATGCTCATGCTGTTGATCATTTGATTGTCTGTTATTTACAGCTGGAATGTTGCTGAGTGCAATATTCAACCAAACGACAAATCAAACCAAACCAAAACTTGAACAGCAATCCGTTCCGTGTTGGTTGATATTATGATTCTCTGTACAAGGATCGACTCAAAAACAGGAAGGTTACATCTGTTGACTTAAGTAGATCATTACACCACTGTCAAGACAAACCTAGTAGTGCTTCATAATCCCTAGCATCTTGGTTAAAAAATATTACAAAGAATATAGTATGGAACTACATTAATACTGCAGATATCTTATACATGTCCTATACAAAGTTTTCATTTCAATTAATAACTAAGGGTCAACCACAGAGAACGCCTACAACTCAAAGGAAGACAAACCTAGTCTCTTGTGGTATTGATGGTATATTAAAGATAATGGCCCCCATCTGTCCAATAAGACTGGAATACTTAACCTGAGTCATATAAACAAAATACTTGGTATGACCAGGTTCATTGTTTGTCAGCCCGGAATGGATCTTTTGCATGTATTTCTGCGAGATTTAACTTTGTAAGTTACCTTACTTAAACTCTCCCGCCTTTAAATAGCTGGAACATTGCTGAGTGTGGCGTAAAACTAAACTCACTCACTCACTTATAGTGTACTTAATGTGCTCATCCTTCATTCAGGAATGTCTGTGACACTTATGCCTGCAATACGTCGGATCTATTTTCTTGTGTGTGTTTATTTGCCAGATTCTAAAGCTACAACTTGTATCTATGGATGAAAACAAGAATTGATGATCTAAAACGCAAAATATCAAGAAAAATAGACAACATATAGTTCCCAACAGACCCCTACATACTCTTAAGTAATCTCAAGTTATACAAACCCATGGAAGCTTTCATAAAATGTTCATTGCACAAATGTAATACTTATCTTGAAGGTGGTCAAGATTACCAGACAGTTGCCTGTTGTTCTAAACTAACCCTTGATTAGTGAGGCAATTATTGTGACTAATGCAGCATGTACACACAATCACCAGTTCCACCTCAATATGCTGCCATATATATGGTCTCTGTACAAAGGAATGATATTACACTCTGAGATTCAAACAAGATTTAAATACAGGTTCACCAGTACTGTACTGTATCAGTTATACATGCAAATTCATCAAGGAAACTGAAAAGTCATTTCAACACCAGTTATGTACACAGTTTCATCACGAAAACTGAAAAGTTCATTTCAACACCAGTTATGTACACAGTTTCATCAAGAAAACTGAAAAGTTCATTTCAACACCAGTTATGTACACAGTTTCATCAAGAAAACTGAAAAGTTCATTTCAACACCAGTTATGCACACAGTTTCATCAAGAAAACTGAAAAGTTCATTTCAACACCAGTTATGTACACAGTTTCATCAAGAAAACTGAAAAGTTCATTTCAACACCAGTTATGTACACAGTTTCATCAAGAAAACTGAAAAGTTCATTTCAACACCAGTTATGTACACAGTTTCACAGTTTCATCAAGAAAACTGAAAAGTTCATTTGAAAAGTTCATTTCAACACCAGTTATGCACACAGTTTTATCAAGAAAACTGAAAAGTTCATTTCAACACCAGTTATGCACACAGTTTTATCAAGAAAACTGAAAAGTTCATTTCAACACCAGTTATGCACACAGTTTCATCAAGAAAACTGAAAAGTTCATTTCAACACCAGCTTTGCACACAGTTTCATCAAGAAAACTGAAAAGTTCATTTCTGCACCAGTAACACACCCATTTGTCACCAATGCTAAGTCCATTTCTTTACTAGTTATACACAAGATTAGTAGAAGATGCATTAAAACCAAGGAGGTACCTTTTGAGATAGTTTACGATTTTTAAGCAAAACAAGTCATCTGTGTACATAACCTGGCAACATGCCAACATGTAATTCACAAGAAGTATGTACGAACGTTTACCTGGATAGTGTATTTCATTATGTAAAGAAAGACAAGAACACATGCTGCAATTTTCTTCATACTTTGGGAATATAAATCATCTGTGGCTGATTGTTTCATAGTGTAGGGATAACATAATTATTGAGGCATAAAGCAAAGCTAATTTATGGAAAGAGAACACCTTAACTAGTCATTCAAAGAAGTACTCTTGAAGCACATCCTTCATTTCAGTATCTTTCACCATCCACCCTCCCTATGATACTCAATAATGAGGTGGGGTGAGGTGAAATTGGGTTTAATGTCATGCTTGAGAATATTTCGCTCATATGACGATGTGCATGCGTGTGTATGTGTATGTGCGGCTGCTTGTACTAGCCCAGACTGAAGCTGGTTTAATAGTGCTAGCCCACTGAGATACCATGCCGCAGTGAAGCATGAATACCCCACTCAGACACATTATACTGACTCCGAGCCGACCAGTCCTTGTTGTACCCATTAATGCCAAGCACCAGGCAGGGACCAACAAGTCCCATATATTAACGTCTTTTAGTGTGACGTGGTTGGGGATAGAACCCGTGACCTTCCGCTCTCCGGGCGGACGCTCTAACCACTACACCACGTACTCAATAATGAGGGGCAGTGGGGTAGCCTAGTGGTTAAAGTGTTTGTCACATCAAAGACCCGGGTTCAATTCTCCATGTGGGCACAATGTGTTAAGCCTATTTCTGATGTCCCCTGCCATGATATTGCTGGAATATTGCTAAAAGCGGTGTAAACCTATACTCACTCACTCATGAACTGTTAGTGAATGTGTTTCATTTTATCATTACCGTTATCTTTTTATACTGTTTCCCTCAAACAAAATAACAATAAACAGCCTAATAGCCTCATATGTTGAAATTGTTTGTTGGAAAAGATGTCACAGATGCAAATTTGATTTTAACTGTATACTTTAAGCACGGTTGGAAGTGAATTTCAAGCCAAAATCATTATCAAATCGTTGTTAAGCTTGGTTCGGAGAGGTCAGAAGGTTCTGAATGAAAAACCATTGATCCGTACCAGATGTGATGTCCCTGTTTAATGACATTACAGTGTAATGTCCGTGGAATCTCCTCATCCTCCCATGTTTCCGCTGTCAATGTATCCCCCCAGCTGCTGGCAGAAAAATACACCATTTTCATCTTCTTGACAAGCAGTTCATGAAAAGATGTTGAGATATTAGGATAAAATGCTCTGTGTGATGCGATGCTTGCGTTATCCATGAAATACTTTGCATACGATGAACATCGTGTCCGTGTGTGTATATCTGTGTCTATCCGTGGGACAGTGAGTGAGTGGGAAAAGACCTTTTCCGGAATATCCATCGGAGGATAGATGACAAGTTTCTGAGCATCTACTGAAATCTGAGGTGCGAACTTTATTCTCCACCAGTCGGGTATCTTCTCAACCAATTTGCTCTCAACATGTTGCAGCGTGTACAGACTCTGTATGTTTACCGATGGTGTGTGTTTCCCGCCTGTTGATAGGGAAGACTTGATGGTGAAAGTTGTCTCCCCTATGTGGTCGAGCTTCAGATGCACATGCAGGGGAGCTTTGGGTGTTGTTGTCTGATAAAAGCCTTTTTTTATCTCTAGCCTGACGGCTTTGGCAAAGGCGCCTATTCCCTTCTTGTAAAGAGAGGTGAAGTCTATGAATGGGTAATCTTGAAAGAAGGCAGCGAACTCAACTCTTCCCATCATATCGTAGATCCTCCAGATGTCTGGCTGCCCTGTGGAGAGGGCAAAATAGGCCTTTACTTTCATATTTGTTGGATCTCGGATCTGATCACCCCAGGGACCATTCATAATTAATGGCAAGGGCGGTGATGATTATTCTAAGGGGGGCCACCCAGTTTGTTCTGGGGAGGTAGGAGGTCAGCAATTTTGTACACATGAACTTATGGGGGTCAGCAATTTTGTACATAAAAATATTATATGCAATAAATATCTTGTGTAACATAGGGTAATTGGGGGGGTGGTCATTGATTGTGTACATGACATGCGTAGGGGTGGGGTGGGGTCACTTACTTTGTACATAAATTATAGGGGGCGTCATTCTCATTGTATATGCTTCTCCATAAAAATCATCATCACATTGTTAGTTATTTACATTTTTGGACAATTCTTTTATCTCAATATCTACAGATATATTACAAAGTTTTCCTGGTGAGTGTTGAAGTGAAGTGACATTTACCTGTATAGTCAATGTCTTCATACCGAAGCCCTGGCAATACCACGTCCGCTTCATGTTGGGAGGGACTAACAGCAATCCGCAGATTCAGTGTTGGGTATGCCCTGCCACACATTAGATGGACACAGAATAAGTAAAAAACAAAACAGCCCTTTTACACTGTCTGGAAAAATACAACAATAATTTAAAAACAGCTCTTTTACACTGTCTTCACAATATAACAATAACTTTTAAACAAACTGTTTTACACCGTCTTGACAAAATAAGCTGCTCACAACTAGGTTGATATGTCGATACAATTACAACATATCCTTTGTGTATGACATGTAAGGGATGTGATGTTACACCCATTCAGGATGTACCCTGACTTGATCACATCAAACAAACGGTTTTTCTAGCTAGGCCAGGCCAAACAGTTGCCCATAGCATGGCAATGTTCCCTGTAATTCGGGTCAATCATTGTAACTATTGAGGTCGTGCATTGAGTAGACTACTATGGACTCATTCCAGTCTTAATCCGTACATCCTTGATCTAGGCCAGAGGGCTAGGTGATAAGGAACATATTTAGATCAACTTATTTCCCATGAAGTAAAAGAATATACATGCATGCACATTGTATCATGACCAGCCAGGTTATAGTCAGGCCATTTTGATTTTCTAGCTGTATCTAATGCAATATGTGTGATTGACTTCAACAACAAGAAGTTTATAACCTCATTAAACGTCTGAGGGCTCCTCTGTACACAGACATGTTGTCAATGCTACTGAATATAAGTACACCAAATCCTCAATGACATGTGTTTTGTTGACATTCACAATCAATCTAAGGGAGGTAACTCTCATGACTGAGGCAAGTGGGCCAGTGGCTGGTACTTCATGGTGTATAACTTGAATTACTGCATACCTTCTAACAGCTAGGGATCACTATGAATGATATTAATTATGAATTATTGTATGTTTAATAAAATTCAAATGGAAAAATAAATTAAACTGTCAAAAATATTTGAAATTTGATATTTAGGAATTTGACATTTTATGAATAATAATAATTAACACCAATGTGTAGCTTTTGAATTTGATATCATAACAGATTGAATTACTTCTTAATTCTTGCCTTTGTTAGAGTTTGTTTCAAAATCTGAAATAATTTGAAATTCATTTGAAATGTCTTTATTGAAGACTGACTCCCAATGTAAGTTACCATAGAAATAAGATTACCTCATAGACATCACCTCATCTCCATCTTCACCCTGCCGAGAGAGCATACTGGCAAAAAAACATAGATAAACAAATATGACCTAGGGGTTTTATGAGTGCAAGGACAAGAGTTGTTGTTTTTCATTGCGTCATGTCATAAATTTCCTCAATGGCAGTCAAAATTGAAATAGGAAAACTTCTTATAATTTCTTTTGGGAATGAAAACTCAGGGCTGGTGGGAGATTAAAAGCACAGAAATTTTTTGAACAGCCTTACATGCTTGTAATGATTAAAGTAAACATAATAGAATGGGTCTCAGCCTATCAGAATCCAACATTCATGTGTAATGTCGCAATAATATGCACGCAGCAATTCCTCCAGACAAACTTCGCTGTTCCAAGAAAAATCAAACAAGTCATTGCAAAGATTCATTATTTTATTATACTAGTAACAATGGTTAAACATGTTAAAAGGATAGATGGATAAAATAGTACATAAAATCAAGAGTCATCAAAATAAAGAAACAGATGGGTTCATCTACATGAAACTTCAATGATGACAGATAGTATAACAGCATCAAGCATATCTGGACATGTATAAAAATAATTCTTCGTGACCCCATGCCTGTATGACCTTGACAGTCATGCATATTACAGAGTTATCAGCACTAACTCAACAAGGAGCATCTTAACAAACAGTTACCAGAATCCATCTTAAGGCAGTTCTCATTGTAAATTGTTCTTACCAGCATTTAGTGCGTATACCCTGAGATGTAAAATACAAAATGGCTCTCAAAACATGTTCACAGTGGATAATAATACTTATAACAAACAATGTGAAAGAAAACAGTATATCAGCCCCTAGTATAACAGCACTATAGGATCACAGTATGACCATAGCATAACATAGGCAATCATAATTATCACTAAAGATTAAATATTTTGGTCAAAGTGTTATAAAATCACACCGACCACTCTTATTACCAACAAGATGGTAAAGAGACAATGTCAGAAGCAGCTAAATGAAAAGACCTTCTCTTTTCTTATAAAGAGCTTTCAATATATTTATCACAGTCATTCTTCTTCTTCTATTATCATTATTAACCATTAGTTCAGATTATAACAAATAAGAAATGACTTCTAGTGCACGTACATTCTTTAAAGAAGATAATCATGGCTGGTGATTGGTATTGTTCAAGTTTAACACACAAAGTACAAAACATTGTCTTAATTACAGTTAGCTATATGTCTGTTAGGCCACATATTTATTCTTTTGTTTTATTGATTAATGTGTTCTAATATTTTCAGCAGTGAAAGATATGCAGAGATAATTTGAAGCTCTTTAACATATTTTCGGTTACTTGTTTTTAGTGTTGTTTCAACAGCTATTTTCTTTCATTGAATTTACTTTAAATAAACCCCCAAAATATATTTCATATTTCCTCTTTGTCACTTTTATCTGTAAAACAATAAAATATATTCTGTGACCGTAGATAAAGAAAAATGGGACTGAGAATTTATTATGTCAGTTTAATGTTTTCAAAATTTGAACATTCTGGAGAATGGTTGATGAGAAACCATTACCTACAGACAGGTAGACCGACTGACAGATATAGATATTAAGCGTGAGATCATGTTTTCACAAGGAAAGTATGTGAATTGCTGGCACCACATGATCAGAACATGAGCAGCATGATGAACATTTCATCATAATCTCGCAATAGCAACGACAGTTTTTTAATTTCTTGGTTAAAAGATACTTTTGTAGCAATACTGATAAGAAAACAAGGTATATAAAACAAAGAAAATATGTTTTTGGGAGGGCTTTACAAAACATCATCTGAAAATGCTGCAATGTCCCTTTTACATTTCAGCTTGTCTCAGGGGTTTCAAAGTTTAAACATTTCCAGCACAATTTGTACAGGTAAACATTTAAGTTTAGCAGACATAAACAGAGCTCACTTTTAAGTTACTGTTTTTTTTACATGTCAATTATTTTATAGTCGGAGGAATCACAAACAAATTATTATGAAACCTGTATAACCTTTATATTAAGTAAGATATCTTAAGCACAAAGAAGAGTAACTCTTGCTGCGTAGAGTAATACCAGTGAAACATAAGTTTTAAAACAAAGTCAACAGGTTTTAAGTGTGTTTTAATGACAATATATTTGTGTCACTAATTTGAAAAAACATGTTTGTAAACAACATGATATGAAAGACTTTCTAAACTTCTGCAGTCACCCAAGGTGGGAAGATATGGCCAATACATTTGTGTTCTATGATTATATGATAATATCCACACAACTGAGAAAACACAAGAGTTAATACGCAATACTTCAACCGATACCCTATAATGTAAGTTCATAAATAGAATATGTACCTATCACCAACACTAGAATGCATGAAAGGGATCATTCCTTCACTAAACAGAAGAAACAGTAAAATATATCGTCTATGCTCCTAAGTCCCATATACTTCACAAATATGCAGGTGAATAATTCATGATTAATGACCACCACAAATGATTCCTGTTAACCTATGCAGTGTTCCAGTCACGGGGTATATGTATTATTTACTGACATCACACCATGAGATAAAACACTGATATGAGATACTGACACGTGATTGGCTGCTAATCATGTCCAATCCCACATTGGGGTGATCTTTCCCTATCTGCACTGTTTTCCTGAAGTCATGCCGAAAGATCAACACACAATTTATTAACCTCTTACAATACATTCAAGTTTAGTTATCTCAAAAGAGGAAAACTAATGGTAATTTTCCATGTGTATGTGTATCAGTCTGTCTGTGTCTCTACATGCATGTGTGTGTTGTATATACACATAATAAAGCTAAAGACGGTTAGAATTTATTGATTACAGTAGGGCTGGGACGGGTACTTGAATCCGGGTCGGGTACAGCTGGAATCAAGTCCTATTTCTAGGAATCGAGTACCCGGAAAAGGAGTGAACTCTGTAATGGCAAGGGCAGACAATAACTTGTCTTTTTCATTATGGACATAACACACATTTGCATCATTGGCATTGTCCGATTAATGGAGGTTATTATAACGACTGTAATATATCTGAGCATGAGCAGTGAGGAGTCAAGTTACAGTAACAGCGGCAATGGTGTTACTCTCTATATTGGTTAAACCAGGGGTAATCTACAACACATATAGTCTCCCTGGTTAAACAGACGTAAAATAAATAGCCTATGTTCACTTTCAGTGTCTTATTGATATCATTTCAAGTTTTTCTATAAAAATCTCTATCAACTCAGAAAGTTGACAGAAGCGCTGTTTTCCTTACATTTCCGGGTACTCGATTCCTTTCCGGGTATGTACATGCAGGTACTCGATTCCATTTTTTCCTACCCGTCACAGCCCTAGATTACAGATATTTAGTTAACTTGGACTGAAATGTACAAGTACGAAATTCAAAGACCTAGTGTGCAGTATTCCCACAAAACTGTAAGGTTTCAGAAGTAGGGGCTAGAGGCAGAACATGATGCATAACCTGACCCTAAGCCACAATGTTAAACAGGTTTCAATGATCAGATGCCTTTTAGTTTCATACATGACAATCACAAAAATCTTTTTAAAGCAAGTCTTGTACACAACAAGAAGGTTGATACATAATTTGGCTTCCTGATTCTAGTAGTCATAAGAACACAAATTCATCATTGTCATATTGTCAGAACTGCTCAATGCAAAAAGTTGTACACATTATTTTTGTCATTACAATCCCTTCATAGATGTAACTGGCTTTTCAAATAGAAAATCATGGACAAAAGAAACTAAACTATAACTGTCCACAGGAGGTTCTTCTTTTCATAATTTCTTGTATAATGATCTCAACATAAAAAGAGTGACTATTCCAGTAAAATTAAAGTCTCTTGTTGAGGACTGATGATAATTAGATTTGTAATCATCTCATAAAATAATGAGTGAGATGAATTCTATATCGCTTTGAACAGAAATTCCAGTTACATCACAGCATGTGTGACAAACGCCTGAGATGCTGCTGGTGTTAGATGTTTAGCACTTGGGTGACATCCATGAGCAGGGTGAACTAGGATTCAAACTCACAGTAGGTTCCGGTGTGCCCAAGTTTACTGCAGCTTCTAATCAATATGCACCTTCCGTGCTCTGAACACTAACAATAACTAGTTCTAGCTGCTTATGCACAGGGCAATACATTGGTATTACTCACGACAGGTAAACAAACTAATTCTAAATCAATATTTTAGTCCATACTTGCATAATCAGATATATATTGTCACATGAAATGACACACAAATATGACACTTATCAGTCAAACATTTTTCTTTTTTATGGTTCACCAATCAGACTTCTTCCAAGGGCAGCTAACTCTAACAACTCTTCAGATTTACTTTCTTTAATGACTACATACTCTTCATCTAGTCATTGATCTCTAAATACTACTTCTTATAAAAGAAAGTTGCTGAATTTTTATACACCAAAACTTGAGAAATAAAAGTTTTACCAAAAGTTGTTTGGAAGACCTGTGATGAGGATGAAAGAAGATCTGAAGATCACAAAGACTATGACATTAACATAGGCATAAATACCTCTACGGAAATATTTAATATCAGATGTCATTTTCATATTTCAATTACACATTTACACAAAAATGGCTCTGGTATTTAAAACTAATTAAAACATGATAAATGTGAACAGACGAATACATATATAAAATGTAAATGTTCGTTAAAAGTTTTGGGGCACTGAGACTTTTCTCCTAATGCTGTACATTCCAAGTTGAGCATTTTCCCACAACTGGGACATAAATCCCAATAGTAATACTAAAGATGAGCTGTTCCTTCTGTCCCTCAATATAAAACATAACCACTGTACCAGTTTGTAACACACACACACTAATAAAGAAACCAGTAAAGCCATCAAATATGAAGTAGCTGATAAAAGTAAACAAGATATGTAATGGAAAAGTAGGAAAGTAGAAAATATACTAAACAACATTGAAAACAAATGAATAAAACAATTCACATTGTAAGTACTTAATTTCATAGAAATATCAACAATTCTAAATACTTTGGGACAAAGATCATATTTAACAAGCAAACTATTCCTAACAATACTAATCCAGGTGAATTTGGTTTATATTACATTTCAACAATGCTGTTTTGCTGATCTGAATGCATACACTGGATCCAAAGAGTTTAGGATCTTGCTATTCAAATGAAACATTGAATCTATTTAATATGTCATGTATCCTATGTAAATTAGAGAGCTAGACATGATACGTCTCAGCATGAGGATCAGACAAACTCTCCATTTTCAGAACATTCAGATCAGCCAAAGAGACTTGTGCCTCATAAATACTTGGTATAACTCAGCAAAGTATTCAGGGTACCACATCAAGTTTCTGTCTCAAAAATGAATTGAAATAGTCTGTTCTGAATTGAAAAAAACAAAGGCTGCCATTGTTTTGTGGATATTTTTACATCCTGTTTTTCTGTGTAATTTGATTCCTCTAAAATATCTATATCTAAATCATCTATCAAGCAACAAAACAATTTATGTCCCAAGATAAAACCGCTTAGATCTAAATGGATAAGGGACAGTTAATAATATATGGCTAGGGAGGGTGATGACTTTAAGGAGGTGGGGGTGGGGGAGTGTTTCACCCATTTTGTTCTGGGGAGGTCATCAATTTTGTACACATGTACTAGGGGGATCAGCAATTTTGTACATGAAAAAAAGAGAGAGAAAGAGAGAGAGAAAGGGTGGGCCATCATTGATTTTGTACATGACATGCAGGGGGAGGGGGTCACTTACTTTTACATAAATTTTAGGGGGGGGATGGGCATGTACATGCTTCCCCATAAACATCATCATCGCCCCTAGGCATAAATTATGAATGGTCCCTAAAGCATTGAGGAAAATACTCAAACAGAGGTATAAGTAATGTCAAATACAGTCTATTCAAAGGAGAGAATAAAACTGTATGATATGTTCAGTGGCTTATTCAGATCAACAACTTGACTTTCAGCAACACATAAACTATTCACTAGCTGTCACTAAAATATGCTACAGAAATAGTAAAACTATGTCCTTTATAAAAGTAAAGGATATTGCACAACACTTCACACAAAGAACACACTACAGTCAACTATGTTGTAAGTGAGTGGTCTAGAGGATTCTGTGTTAGTTCATCAAGCAGAAGATCTAGGTTGGAATCCTCACGTGGCATTACTATGTGGAGACCCTCGTGGTTGTATCCAACCTGATATGGTCACAATATTGGGAGTTATGCAAATCATTTCACACTTTTAAAAAGATAAATGAGTGTTTAAATATGAATAAACATGAATAAGTGGCGACTGTAGTGGCCAGAGTATCCCATAAACACAACTTAAACAAATCACTTCACCCAGGTATCCATGTAAGCATATGAAAATAAATATAGGAATACTATTTTCTTAACAACTAGTCATGGATCAATAACATGATGAACAAAATTTAATATTAAACTGAAATAATCACTACCCTACATCTAATGTAATTATCACATTTACCAAACAGCCAGGGTGTTTGGGGATTGTCTAAATCATCCTCTGACTGATACACCAGGGGTTCATGTAAACTAATGATATTAAGAATGGCAGTACTTAGGTTAATAGTATCTGTTCTGATAGGCACATGATGACAGGAAGACAAAAGTGCTGGACCCATGATGAAGGCTTTGACTATTTGTGTTACAATCAACATCAGCAGTTTTATGTTAATACCAGTAAGACTATATTATAGTTTTTTATTATACATTTTCTTTTGCCATCATAAATTCAGAAAATCCTGTTCCATCACACACAAATCCCATTTGCCTTATTAATCGTAGCACTTACATACCAGAACTACTGGTATACCACAAGCAGCTGTATGTATACTCTGTCTAATGGTGTGTTTTTGAAAGGAAAGTATTTATATTTACTCCACCTAAGATGGAAAACAGACGTATAACTAAGCTCACAGACCATACTATAGAACTATAACATGACTATGCATAGCCTCCACCATAGTCTCTGGACAAGGAATCCATCAGTGTCTGGGATGGTCTACTTCATTTCCGTTGTCATGGGTGTCCGGGTTTTGATCATTTTCTTCAGGATTTGTTTTGTGCGAGCTGATGTTGCCATTTTCTGTAAACACACACAGTATGAGAGTTATGATTGCACAATGCCATTTAGAAAGAGGTAAAATGTTACATATGTTATATTTGGGATTACATTTTCTTAGTAAAATATGCATTCTTGTACTTTTGTTGGGTTTAGTCCCATCTGGGATTCCAACTCATACCCTCAGTGTCACGCACCTAATTGCCAGCACACAAAATCAGCCGCCTAACCCGTTTAGGCCACTTTCTGACATTGTGTGATCATAGCTTTCGGCCGTGGGAGCTGTGCCAAGTAACACTTACCAGAGGGGTACACAAAGTCTGCAGTCTAGACTACCAGTTGTCCGACTTTCATTTTTGTGGAAGTTGCGGTGGCTGAGCGAATTAGGCAGTTGACTTCGTGCTGATGATTAGGTGCCTGACTCTGAGGGTGTGGGTTCGAATCCTGGATGGGACTCAACCCAACAAAAGTACTAGAATCTCTACCTTACTAAGAAAGTGTAATCCCAAATATAACTATGTTACAGCAGTGAATGAAATAAGCCCCAAACCCAGCCAGACATCAGATTTAACCAGACCAGACAATCCAAAGAAAATTACTCTGATGTATGGAACATGTTTTCAAAAAATTTACCAGACCATCGGGCTGGCTAGCTGTAAATGTGGACCGTCCGTCAGAAATCTAGCCCTTTCTCGGGTGGTCGAATGGGCCTTATTTCATACTCTGGTTTACAGTAATATGTATTCAGAGGCTGAGCATCAGTCTAGGCCCAGCAGAGTGAGAGTTTATACATACTGCATGGAGTGCAGCCCTACTGAATGAGAGCAATCCAGTGAGACCCTTTAGAGTAAAACCATTGTGAAGGACCCTGTGGAAATGGACCCTAGAGAGACTGTATGGAATGCAACACTAATTTCCTGGAATCATCCCCATGGACTGAGACTCAGTCAAAGACAACCCTATGGAATGATAGCTTGTGGTGAGACCTGATACATATAATGATAACTCTGAAAATGTGTGTCGGTAATCAGATTTATGCAATAGTTGGTCTAAAAAATCCAAGCAAGCTGTTCTGTGGATTAAGGCAAGATGTAAACAAACACAACAGTGTTGTAAGGCTTCCAATCTCATCTCATATGACTTGGTGGACACATGTTGTCAGATACTTGAAAGCATGAATATGCATTTTCTTGTGAGTATGTACATAAACATTATAAGGAAAAAGGGAAACTGGTGCATGTTATAAATAGAAAGTGCCATTTAAACCTGTCCCTAAGAGTGAGCAAGTGAATTTAGTTTTACGCGGCACTCAGCAATATTCCAGCTATATGGCACCGGTTTGTAAATAATCGAGTCTGGACCAGACAATCCAGTGATCAATAGCATGAGCATCAATCTGCGCAATTGGGATACGATAACATGTGTCAACCAAGTCAGCAAGCATGACTACCCGATCTCAATGGGTTACTGAGGATTCATTCTAACACAGATCATCACGGGTATTTCTCTAAGAGGTGAGGTGAAATTGGGTTTTACGTCGTGCTTGAGAATATTTCGCTCATATGACAACGTGCATGCGTGTGTATGTGTATGTGCGGCTGCTTGTACTAGCCCAGACTGAAGCTGGTTTTATAGTGCTAGCCCACTGAGATACCATGCCGCAGTGAAGCATGAATACCCCACTCAGACACATTATACTGACTCCGAGCCGACCAGTCCTTGTTGTACCCATTAATGCCGAGACGCCAGGCAGGGACCAACAAGTACCATATTTTCACGTCTTTTGGTATGACACGGTCGGAGATCGAACCCGCGACCTTCTGCTCTCTGGGCGGACGCTCTAACCACAACACCACTGAGGCTGTATTTCCCTAAGAGCCTATACCAGCACATGTTCCCAGTATGCACTGTTCCAGTGGTTACACACTGACTTATGGTCAGAGAAGCATTATCATAAATAATAAGCTAAATATCACAGTGAAAATTAATCTAGTTCCATTACAAACTGACAACAAATAGAAACTTCATAACATCGATCAATCTGAATTGGCAAATTGGCAAAAAAAGAACAGGCTTCGGCAGGATATGCATGCAGTGCTCAGCATTATACACATGTAAGATAACACCACCATCTGAATAGTGCAGGTAGCGCCACCTGCCTGCTCTCATAGGTCCACAGAGAAACACTATCCACTATAACCTTGAGTTCAACTTGTTGACAAGCTCCCCGTATCTAGCATGAGCGAATGAAACTTAAACCATAATAGAGGTTACGGTGATGGTTTGGGTAATTAAAGAATCACTGTCATAGATTTCACCATTTGTTCATCATTTAATAATTCAAGGTGTCAACACGATTCAAGAACTGGCAACCAACTTTCTTTTACAAAAAACCTAAATGGCAATCTTGATCTTTGACTTATTTTAACCCTTACAGTTTCAGGCAGTGCAATATCCTAGAGAAGGTCTATTCAAAGTATATTGAAAATAAACTATCTGAAAAATTGTTTATTAATGATCTTGATCAAGTTGTGTGTTAGACATATGAAAAATTCCAACATGGTTTTAAAGCAGTCCTATTGCATGAGGCAATCTCAATGTCTTGATCATCCATACTCAATTCATACCTGCAGAGAAGGATAATCATAGAAAAGCAGTGTGTTGCGTTAAACTACGGGTGAAACCAGTCCAAAAGTCAAAGAATTTTTCCGTCTCCTCAACTAAAACTTCAAGCAAATGTTGTTCACCTTTAAACAGACCAGCCTTTAAGTAAACAGTTTGCAGAGCAGTGTTGAGGCTTACACAAGGAGCTAGATCATATTACCAGACTACATTACATATTTGAAGAGCTAATGTATTGCCTAGGGCTTAGGTTTGAACCCTTATATATTTACACATAAAATTGTACATTGAGTGTTAAGGACTGACTACTTGAAATTTGGGAGGTGAAGTTGGGGGCAGGGAATATCTGTTAAACATGCAAAGTTTTATTCACATATCCACAGTAGTTTCTGAGAATACTTGTCCTTTTTTGCATCCACTATGCACTAAGAAAACAGAAATTACTCTAGGTATGGTTTGTTGCCAAGAAAACACAAATATTTGTTTTAGAAATACAAAAACATCAAAAAGCAGCAGTTTGGCATGTGTTTGCTACATAAGCAGAGTTTCATTCGAAAATATTAAACAGTTATGATTTGGATATGAAACTACAAATTCTTTGGATTTCTAAGTTAATTTTGTTTCCATGGAAACACACAAAGTTTTTGTTGTTAAGTGATCCTAAAACACTCAAAGGCACCAGTTCAGCATACGTTTGATTCAAAGCAGTTTCACAATATAATATGACATCGTTTCCAAGTTCTGCCAGTATGAATGCTACACATATTTTTATTATAGAATTAACAAAACACCAAAAGGCACTTGTTCGGTTTATCTTTGTCACACATGAACAATGAAATACAAAATGGCTTATGAGTTAATCTAATTTATGAATTAATGAGAGCAATTGTCAACACAAAAAATACTTTTCTCAAAAACAATATTTAGGTTCATAGTTTCAATTTAAAAATTCTGATTTGTTTTCATTGTAACAATCACCTCAAAGAATATCAAATGGCCAGTCCCTGAATGCTTATTTGAATAATAATATGTGTATAATTATCAAAACCTTACATTAGTATAAGCATGCTGTCTAGCCAGTACAGTCTGAAATATACCATGTGTCTGCAGATTCAAAAGCTTATAATTTATATTGACAGCAACGTATTGTGTTAATCTGACAAGAAACATGTTTGAAATCCAATCAAGAATACCAGTAGTTGTAAGCCTTAGACAAAGCTGGGGAGATTGGCAGGATACTTGAAGGAGTGACCTTCACCAACAGGTTCAACAAAACAAAACTCAGGAGAGACTGAGTAATCAATGTTTGGGCATATTTAAATTTCTAAATGATAAAACCAAACATATTTCTGTCTTATTGCTATATGGGAGAAAGCTTAAATTACATACCACTCTAAACCTTGTTTTGGGAAACCAACAAAACAGTTATATATTAACTAAAATTCATGGGAAAATACAAAACAAATGATTACCTGTGGCTGCTCATTGTTTGAAAAAATTGCAATCACAAAATATATTAATGTACACTCTGTAAGAGATCGTGAAGGATTGTGTAAAATCAGCTTCAAGCTTTAGTAGGGGCGGTGGGATAGCCTAGTGGTAAAAGTGTTGGCTCGTCACACCGAAGACCTGGTTCGAATCCCCACATGGGTACAATGTGTGAAGCCCATTTCTGGTGTCCCCCACCGGGATATTGCTGGAATATTGTTCAAAGCGGCGTAAAACCAAACTCAGTCAGTCAGTCAGTCAAGCTTTTGTGGGACATTTGAAGGTGTGAACACCATTTAAGTTTAAGTACACCGTTACTGGGGTTACTGGGGTTACTGTTCTGCCCCTCAATCGGCACATGAATCCAATAACAATTGCAAAATGTGTAAATAACAGATTCTGGGCCTGTTACACAAAGCAATCATAGCGCATGATTGTCCTAAGTCCATGTGGAGTATAGCTGCGATAGTCTTACAGTTATGAACACTTTGATAAACAGGGCCATGTCAAATCAAGAAATATAAAGGCTGCTAAAATATGACTGGGACAACGAGTACATGTGTACTAACCTCCTTCATCATGTCATGTCTCAGCTTGTATTCCTGTCTAGCAATCTGAAGCTCTACCCACTTGGGTACATCGGGGATGAAGAATGCCACAGCAGCCTTCACCGCCAATACAATATGCTGCAACAGTGAATACATTCACAGTCACAGGGTATCAGTAGACTTGACATTCAGTTAACGTAATCTGTTAACTTCGAAGAAGTGAGTGAGTGAGTGAGTGAGTTTAGTTTAGTTTAGTTTTACGCCGCACTCAGCAATATTCCAGCTACATGGCGGCGGTCTGTAAACAATCGAGTCTGGACCAGACAATCCAGTGATCAATGGCATGAGCACTGATCTATGCAATTGGGATATAATGACATGTGTCAACCAAGTCAGCAAGCCTGACCATCCGATACCGTTAGTCGCCTCTTACGACAAGCATAGTCGCCTTTTATGGCAAGCATGGGTGGCTGAAGACCTATTCTACCCCAACCTGATCTTCAGGGTAACAAATTCAAGAAACTGTTACATGTCTCAATGCTTGTTTGAGTGGCATTTTAGAAGTTGAGACGCATAAACCTGGATAACAACTCTTTATTTCTGATACAGATTCTTGTACCGCTGTCAAGCAATGATACATGAAGTTATTCAAACTTCCTAACAATGAAACTACATACATTGTAATTGACAAAGGAAACAACAAATTGCCAAACAATGGCCTAATTGTTTGACATGGTGGTGGTGGTGGTGATATAGCTTTAGGGGCTTAAAACACAATCTATAATTTGGGGGCACTTAACTTAGCATATGGACTTGTAATTATATACAAATAGGAATGAAACAAATTATTCAAACTTCCTCTTAAAGGTCACATGCAAAAAAAATCAAACATAATTAAAACACAATTATCATATGACATATAACTGGTTAAAAAAACATATATAAAATTATAAGCCGCACAATCGCAAAATCAAAAGTGCAATATTGTGTACTTGGGTTTACTTCCCAAGAAACTAAGCAGCCAGGATACCGAACCCAGTCAGAGTGGGTGGGTGTGCACTCATGTGTAACGGCTGGTTCATTTGCAGATGCCCTCACAGCTCATTGTGTGTGTATATATAGAGATGTTGGGTTTTGTAAATACATGCTCATTTTTTGTGCATAACATTTTGCAATCAACAGACATCATAACATGTCATGTGTACAAGTATCACACCTGCCTGTCTGTGTAATTACATAATGTGACAGAGACCGAACTAGGGCCATAAATCAATGCATTTTGTTTATGGTGTATAGCCTGATTGGTGTTAAGTTCAAATTGCATGTGGTCAGTGATCGCAGTTGTGTATTGAATATGGTCATTAGCAGACAGGCAGGCAGACACATAGGTGTCAATAAAACAGACATTGAGTTTTGTCTGTGACAACGACATATCTATATCACAGTTAGAAATTCTGTCGATGCTAAATAATGACATGTCTTTTAAGTATCGAACTGAGAAAGTGACTCAGTAAGAAGAACGTGTGGTGAAATAGACAAATGAAATTATATAAACAGTTAATCTACTGTCATAACATATAAAAAGGCTCGGCCTGTGAAATATCAACAAAACATTAGAAAAATAGCTCACACCAAAGCCGAGACAACCCGCTTCCAAGCTGCGCGAACCTATTTCACTGCGCACGTGCTATGAGCGCAGCCCAGCTGTTGAAACCACTTGAATTCCCCCAAGGGCTGGGGGAAAATTAGTGAATCGTTTGAACTACGATTTTCGCGCGGGTTTTTTCATCATCGCGTTATTTTTCAACTTTATAAGTTGAATTTGCATTTTTGATGATTTGTTTGATAAGTTCATACCCAAAGGTATCAGAATCTGCAAAGTTGTGTTTTACGTTGCATGTGACCTTTAAGGAAAATCTCAAAATTTCCTGACCAGATTTAGAAGTGAGGCTTGGAAAAGTAATTTGAATAGATGCACACAAACAAAAAATTCGAAAATATTGAAAAACTTACAAGGTGTTGGCATGCTACATTTAACAAATGTGATACCACAACAAATGTTAAGATTCACCATACCTCAACAGCAACAAAGATGAGAACGATGTTGACAGCCGTGACATTAGAAGGCAGGAGTTTCTGTACCTCAGGGTCCATCCCAATCAGGGCACAGTTCGTCATTACTGAGATGACCCCAATAATCTCAAATGCGACCTGCAAACAAATGCAGGTAATGTTGACTAAAGTTGATAATTACCTATCAGATAAACAGTTACAAGTCTTCTGGATGAATAAATATGTGCACAAGAATTGATGTAAGACGAACATAGTTTGTCAACTAACACAAACCTACTATAACAAACCTTAAACTCCATACATCTGTAAGGATAGTTCGTCACTTTCTGTCCAAGAGCTAATGGTGCCTTCACACAAGCAGACTGAAGATTCATGATTAAAAAAGGGCGGTGGGTGTAGCCTAGGGGCTAAAGCGTTGGCTAATCATGCTCTAGACCACAGTTCGATTCCCCACATGAGTACAATGTGTGAAGCCCATTTCTGGTGTGCTAAGCCATAATATTGCTGGAATATTGCTAAAAGCATAAAAACTTAACTCATTCAACTACAAATACAGGATTATGAACAAAATACTAATAAATCATTTGTGGACAGCCAGCATTGGTACATGGACAATAATAATGGTGATTGAAAACATTATTGGCTGCCTATTCAAACAATCAACACTAGACAATAAATTGTTATTTATCCAGTATCCCCATGAAAAATGATTACTTAATTCCCTTCCCGAATGACAAGACAACATGGCGTCAGATGGGGATGTGAGGACATCTTTCCATTTTCTTAATCTCACTTTAATACCTCTGTGCATGACACCTCCAAAGAAGATGTGTCAGGTAAACCTTGAGTGATCTTTGATCATCCTGTCTAAATGAAAGATCTTAAGCCAACTGAATGTCAGCTTACTGAAAGAATTTGGTCTCATTTCTATATCACCTCAATATGTAAATTTTTATTTTAGCCGGAAAAAAAGAAGGAAACCAACACAACACAAATATATCTCTACTATTTTTGATTGACAGAAATGACAGAGTGTGTCCACAACAATATACAAGCACATCCTTTATTATATATTTTCAGTACAGGACAATTGAGTTTGCTCTCCACACACAGAAATATGAACTACTGGTCTGAAGCCTTAGCTCACCTTTCTGACAATTCTGAAGGTCAAAGGGCATTCAGGGTTCATCTGACACGACCTTCTGTGAAGGGGACATTATGTCTTCATTCAGTGGGGTATTGTATCAGAGTATAAGATGTCATATTAATAACATTCTCTTTACCTGCCATGCACCAATGTTTGGCACTGACTCTGAGAACGGCCTCTGGAAGATCCTGCACATCTTGAAGGCATCAGTTCTGATCTCTGTGATGTTGTTCAGGAGTGCCCACAGAGCAGCCAGTGGAAACGCAGAGGAGAAGAGGTAGACGTAGCCGAACTGCAGGAACAGCTCCAGGTAGTCGTCCATTGGACCCTACAAATTAATGACACTGTGCAATGTGTGATAACTACTACTCTGTGGAGAAAACAGTTAGTTTTCATAGTTAGTCATTCTTTCTCACTCTTTGTACAAGTTACAAGGCATTTGTTTGAGTTGGTTACAAAATAACATAAGCAAAGTATTAAAAGTGGTCAGTAATGCAACTGACATGCAGTCTCACAATACCCTTCTGCATTTGCAGGCAGTTGTCAGTCAAATAATTATTACAGTTTTCTAAACAAAATTAAACCAATTGGATTTAAATCTACATGTATTCTGTTTAATCAGTAGACAAAGAAGTGGATGAAACTTAACTTTCATTGACCATTAACAATATGTGTATTTTCTAAATGCATGAGAAATCTCATTTTGATCCAAAATATTTACTGAAATGATAGATAAAATGGTTCTGTGGAAAGTTTGATACAAAAAATCAAGAATAATAAGAAATCTTCATCATCTGATACTTTTCAGATGGCAAGAGTACCAAGAACATATCTGAAGCCCCAAACTGACAGGTGTGCAATCATCACTGTACCATTTGGTTGTCAATAGAAAAGGGTTACACTGACATCATAGGGGTCCATGGTGGCCTCCAGGTTGGCCTGCTTCTGCACCACCTTCTCCACATCGTTCCGGCCGTTTACCATCTGCAATGCTTCTGTCTTCTTCAGCACAGTGTCCAGCTGTCGGGCTCTGCGGCGGAAGATGAAGAAGGGTACGATTGCCTCTCGGATCTGCCCAACGACCTGAGACGTTATGAGAAGGCACGCCAGGTGCTGAGAAACAAATAAGTCAGGGTTAAATTCATGTGTATCTATTTCTTATCATGGAGGTCTCCAGTGAAGGTAGCTCCAGGGTGGTTGTAAAAGAGGACTTATATGGGGATCAGTTGGTCAAAATGTATGTCCTTCATGCTCCTTCCTTCCTATGGCAATGATCTTTGCCAATGTATGCTATTATAAACTGGTCACAACCTTAACTTTGACACTATCAAGAAGTGGTTCAGTAATCCACAGCACCCCTTTTCAGCCATGTTTACTGCGCACTCAGCATTCTCACAATGACTGGAAAACTACCTGATGTTATCAAAGTAATAAAATACTATTCTTGATTAATATTCCTGTCTGTTAACAATTGAGATACAGAATGTGGATATGATGCTCCACTTGCTTGTAAATACAAAAAATATGAATGCCCCTTTGCTGATTGTCCCACTGCATCCTCAACTGAGGTGACTTCCTGTAGGATTTATCAGATCTTCATTATTAAAGGTATCATACATATTAAGTTTAGTTTAATTCCAATCAGAAAACCTCAAGATACATCATACACAGTGGCGGAACAAAGGTGGGTTTCAGCCCCCCCCACCAACCCCCGAAAATTTCGGGATCCACCTATGATACATATGCATTTCACTAACTCATTGACGTGACCTTGACCTTCGATGCCATTCATTCGTATGTCAGAAAAATGACACTGGGGATAAAGGAGGTATTTGAGATATGGAGTCAAATTTGGGAAAACACAGTCATAATCCCCCTTTTACAGACAAAAAGGGTGTATAACATATTTATACTTACACTGTGGAGGACATTTCTGTCTTGCATGTAGAAGGCCACATAGAAGAGTGAAATGAAGCAGTTCACAAAGTCAAACTGAAGCATAGAATTGTCACACGTTAAGACATTGTGTCTACACCAGCACAGATATATCACATATTAACATATTGTGCCTATACTAGAATGCTGTTTCTATATTGGCACAGACATATCACACATTTGCACATTGTGTCTATAACAGCACAGAATTATCACACATCTACACTCTGTGTCCAACCAAAGTCTGTCATGACTGATAAATAACTCAACCCAAGATGTTAGAGGATAATTTCAGCCCATAACAACCAAAACCTGGCACTTTTGTTACTTTCTGACTGCATCCTTATTTTGTTTTAGCATCATTTGAAACAGGATCACTAGAAAAAAACTACTAAAGAAGTACATTTCTTCAGTTCCCTGAATAAAACTGATTGGTCAGATAGAAAGAACTTTGATATACAACATGCCAATGGCAGATATTAGCTCCTAACAACCATATTCTTTACTGAAAGTTAAAATTTGTCAAAAGCAAATTTTCACAAAGGTAAGTAAAGTGGTTCACTCCCATAATGCAGAACTCCCAATATGCACAATGAAAATTCAGACTGGGCAAGATGTTTATGAATAATCAATGGTGTCTCTGTTCTCATTTCTTAGACCATACCACTTTAAGTACAAGGGTACAGTACAGGCAAACCAAGTGTAGCCAACCATACATTGTGTTGTTTTAGGGGTTCTGCATGTTGTGAGGACACCAGTAAGGTGGTAGGACTAATGCGTGACTCACCAGAACTAGTTTGATTGTAAAATGGTTGTCATAGGCAGACTGGTATCTGTGGTTTTCTGTAATCAAACAGTTTGTTTGAGGCATTAATGAAGAAACAGTGTCATTATGAAAGGTCAAATGTAACAGATGTTATATTTGGGATTACACTCTGTAGAGTACAGATTCTAATAACTTATGCTGGGTTGAGTCCTATCCAGGGATTCAACCCAGACTCTTTGAGTCAGGCAATTGCCAACACAAAAAGCTAGCCATCTAACCCACTAGTGGTAGCCACTGTGGCTGAGTGGATTAGACGGCTGACTTTGTGTGTTGGCGAGTAGGTGCCTGACTCTGAGAGTGTGGCTTCGAATCCCACAATCACAGGATTCTGGCATGACAAAGGGACATGTTTCAATACAGATAGTAGTAGCAGTGCTTCAGACAATTGGGCAGCCAGTGACCCTGTCATGTGAACTGTGAAGGAACATATGTCAGTCATGCTGTTTCTGGCTGCAGTTACGGTGGGTTTACATTCAGGAGGAACCTCGGAATCCAGCGAAAATTATTTCTGATGTATATCTAAGTGTGACCATTGTAAAATTTGAAATATTTTGGTGGAAAAAAAAAAAGTTTTATAGCTCAATTGACACCCTCAGTGAATTTAAACAAGGAAGTTCAGTTCTTCTGGATAGAAGTGTATACTATTAAAGTACCATGATGAATGCAGGGGATCCTATTGAAAGGCACAACCACAAGAAAGGGATTCAAAGTAGGAATTATCGTAGGATAGTGATTTCTACTTTTGTTCTCACCACGTTATACTACTGAAGAAAAAACCCTCATATCTACAATATGCTTGGTGTTGTATACAGTTAGCCTACAGCCATTTTGGTTTTCAGAGGTGTAACGCATGTCCTTGACCTTACCCCAATCGTTCAATTTTTTGGCCACCATCCTGTAGATGCCATTCAGGATGCCGATCATGACAGCATACACAGCTGTCGGGGCGTACAACATCAGGTAGTTGACCCAATGTTTCTCCGCTGCATAGACACTGTCCGCCCAGTCCTGCATCCAGAAATATGCCAGCATGACGAAGAATGCTGCCACCAGACATACTGATATCACAGGTACTGTAATCAAATAGAACCTCATCTGACGCTTCCATTTGGGGAAAGTGGGCTCCGGCTTCTGGGTAACAGGGTTCCGGCCAAGAGAGCCATGAAATCTTGCTCTGGGCTCTTCAAATTTGGCTGATGCAGAATCCATGCTTCCCCACTGATATGTGAGCTCCGCACAGTGCCGCTTCCAGGCCTCCAGGAATATAGTGGACCAGATGAGATTGAACACAGCGAATATTGCCTCCCTGTACATACTCCGCCATGACGTAACAAGATATATAACTCCGATGAGAGCTGGTGGTATCAAGGAAATGGTGTACAGGCCCAGAAATGCAAAGTAAATACCGATCTTCTCGCCAAAATATCTTTGTATACGATCTGCAAAACAATATGAAAGGGGTTGCAATGAAGTATCGAAGAAGAAACAGCTTGAACTGTTCTTGACATTATTGGTTATTGGCAATGTGACCTTATTCAAGATTGTCTAGCACAAAAACTGAACTGGTACATAGGTTTATTCATAATATTGATGCTCAGCAGAAGCAAGTGAGTGAGTGAGTGAGTGAGTGAGTGAGTGAGTGAGTGAGTGAGTGGGTGAGTTGAGTGACAGTGAGTGAGTGAGTGAGTGAGTGAGTGAGTGAGTTAGTCTTTAGTGTGATGTGTGAACACATTAACCCCACCCCTCTCTCATCTGAAACAGATGATCACATTGTGTTGTATATACAACAAATCCTATCCTCTAAACACATTATATCAGCTAAATAGAACAACAGTGTTTTTCTACTAACGTATAGGTTGCCTGCTGAAGACTTTACGGACACCACACCAGTCATCTGCTAGGTTCTTCAGAGCATCCTCGTCATTCAGGGGAAACAGCTGCAGCACAATCTGTCGACTCTGGTACTTCTTGACTGGAACGTCAGATCACATACTATTTCCATGGTATATACACACAGCTGTTACATCCATTACATACACATCCATCAAGAATGAATCATTCAGCTTGAAATATTGACAGGCTTCTATATTTCTGATACTCCTTACCTACATCATTGATAGAGCTTGACATTTCTGCTATCCCCACATACGTCTTTGATATAATGACCTATCTGGGCTGCAGATTTCAATTACTCCCTATGCACAGTATTGACAATATTTACAAATCAATCTTGGATGCATATTTCTGTTATTCCTAGCATATTACATTGTACATTGTTTAAATTAAAAATCATCATGGCAGCTGTTATTCCCCATATATAACTATTGCAAGTGAAGTATCTTGGGTGTATATTTCCATTATATCCCTACTTATGCTCTTCCCAGGGTACAGTCTATGCTGCTCATATCCGGGGATGTGGGCATCCATCTCCCCAGCCCGAATACCCTCCAGCTCCTTCAGGATGATCTTCTGTTTCTCTGCCATGGAGAAAAATGTCCCAACATCTCCTGCAAAAAAAGGGAAAAACAAAAGAGAATAAATTTTCTTTCATAATATTTGCTTCAATCTTCAGTAAATGTGAAAAATTAACTACTATTGAAATTTTAACTTATTACAAACAGTATTTTATATATGAACCATGTCGTAACCTACACAGAGAGTATTACACACAGCTTATTTTATTCCTACTATAAAAAGCAAATAAAGATTAGTCTGATAGTAATATGGCAACATAGTAGCATGGAATTTTAACCTAAGATCTTCATGTCAAGGGGGTGGGGGTGTGTTTAGCCTAGTAGTTTAATGCCCTTGCTCGTCACGCTGAAGGCCTGGGTTCGATTCCCCACATGGGTACAATGTGTGAAGCCCATTTCTGGTGTCCCCCACTGTGATATTGCTGGAATATTGCTAAAAGTGATGTAAAAGTATCCTCACTCACTCACTCACTTCAAGTCAAGATTCAGTACCAACTACTTTCAAATGAAAACTCACCTGAACCACAAAAGTTGTCAAAGTCTGCGACTGAAAACTCGTGGACAAATCCATCTACATGTGCCTTCTTCATAGCCATTAATTCTGCTGACATTAGCAGACGTTCACTACTGGCACCAACATACAGGATGGTCTCCTGCAATAAGGGGGGATAACTATAATACACAGGGAGGCAACTCTAATGAACAGGGAACACCTCAGTGTACATTGAGTACCACATACAAAGAAGTAAGCATAAAATGGCACTATACACTTTCAAAAAGGAAGAGAGCGTTGGTAAAGTGAATGACATATGTTTGCAAAACAGTGTACTGGGGGCATTCTTTGGAAAGCGACCCCAACACAGCAACATGGCACTTAATGGACAGCTTAATACTGAAGTAGGAAACAATTATTTAAAAAATAATACCGATTCTTCTGGAACTATCTGTTTGAATGTCACCTATTATCCTGAAATCAGTAGCAGTCTGTTGAAAGCTTTCACTTGTGATCAGTTACAAATCATTATGTGCATAAATAGCTATATAATGTCATTAATAAAATGAAAAACCAAAAACAAATGTTATGTTCACCAATCATTCCTGACTGTAACAAAGTTAAGCAAACTCCTCTTACTTTAGTGACATGCTAGTTATCCAGCGTAACCCATGCACAACCATGTTTACTGATACAGCAATGGGGCTTTACATAGTCTCAATACTCTCAGGTTAAACATTCCTCTGAACATCAACACACATCCATACAATCGTACTAAAATCAGATGTTTTACCTCTCCCCATCAATATCGGAAAACAGTTCATTGGAGGTCATGTCAGAGCTTTCTGATCAGCCAATCAGTGTGGAGGCGTCTAAATGACTGGTAGTACTGAGTGAAATAATCATACCGGGTAGCAGCATGCATACCATCCTCGATAATCTCCAGGGTATACGTTACAATCACTCTCCACTATACCCTGGATGCATCCATGGCATGGCCCTGATGATTTTATTACCTCCCTTGGCTGGCTTTTTATCCAATCAGGTGTCTACGCTGGGAAGTTGAGCGAACCAATCAATACTCACTTTCGCTTCTTAAATTATCTAACCGTTTAAACTTGGCAACACAATTGATGCAGAGGTACTCTGAAAGAGGTAGAAGGAGTTCTTTCATATATTTTTTTAAAGTTTCAGATCTGTCAAATTCTCAGTATGATTTCCCAAAAAATATGAGTGGCACTGCGAACAAACCTTCGTGACTGTGACCGCTATTTTTGTTGACACTGGCAAGCTCATCTGTAACGGCAGCTTAGCTGATTGGCTACTGTGAGAATGTGGAGCCAGCAAAGGGAGGTCATACAATTATCGGGCCAGGCCGTGGATGCATCCAGGGTATAGTGGAGAGTGATCGTAACGTATACCCTGGAGATTATTGAGGATGCATGCATACTTGATTCCTGTCTCAAAAACAAATGTAAACGGGAAGTTCCAAATGGAGAAAATTGTTATGTATTTCATACCCCCTTGAACGTACACCCACGCCACCTAGGGAGACTAGTTCTGTGTGGGTGTTCTTTTGAGGAGGAAGGATAAGAATATATGGATAATGAACTTCTTTATTACAGGAGGAGGATCACATACATTCTTATCCTCCAACTTTTAAATGCCTCTCAAAGAAATTTCTTTTGATGAGGTTGAATTTTTATAACTAAGGTGATCAAACCTAGCTTTTGGGAAAACTGTGATCTGACTGGCTCAAGAAACCCCTGCAACCTGTACTGTGGTTGGGTGGTCAAGGTTATTTCAGGATTCAGTCAAATGACAGACTGACTGACTGAGTTTGGTTTTACGCCGCTTTTAGCAATATTCCAGCAACATCACGGCGGGGGACACCAGAAATGGGCTTAACACATTGTACCCATGTGGGGAATCGAACCCGGGTCTTCGGCGTGACGAGCCAACGCTTTAACCACTAGGCTACCCCACCGCCCCTCAAATGACAGATGTTGGTGGAGATAAGTATGGATGTCACAGATGTTAGTGGAGATAAGTATGGATGTCACAGATGTTGGTGGAGATAAGTATGGATGTCACAGATGTTGGTGGAGATAAGTATGGATGTCACAGATGTTGGTGGAGATAAGTATGGATGTCACAGATGTTGGTGGAGATAAGTGTGGATGTCACAGATGTTGGTGGAGATAAGTATGGATGTCACAGATGTTGGTAGAGATAAGTATGGATGTCACAGATGTTGGTGGAGATAAGTATGGATGTCACAGATGTTGGTGGAGATAAGTATGGATGTCACAGATGTTGGTGGAGATAAGTATGGATGTCACAGATGTTGGTGGAGATAAGTATGGATGTCACAGATGTTGGTGGAGATAAGTGTGGATGTCACAGATGGTGGAGATGGTTGGTGGAGATAAGTATGGATGTCACAGATGTTGGTGGAGATAAGTATGGATGTCACAGATGTTGGTGGAGATAAGTATGGATGTCACAGATGTTGGTGGAGATAAGTATGGATGTCACAGATGTTGGTGGAGATAAGTATGGATGTCACAGATATTGGTGGAGATAAGTATGGATGTCACAGATGTTGATAGAGATAAGTATGGATGTCACAGATGTTGGTGGAGATAAGTATGGATGTCACAGATGTTGGTGGAGATAAGTATGGATGTCACAGATGTTGGTGGAGATAAGTATGGATGTCACAGATGTTGATAGAGATAAGTATGGATGTCACAGATGTTGGTAGAGATAAGTATGGATGTCACAGAGTGTTGGTAGATAAGATGTCACAGGTGTTGGTCGAGATAAGTATGGATGTCACAGATGTTGGTGGAGATAAGTATGGATGTCACAGATGTTGGTGGAGATAAGTATGGATGTCACAGATGTTGGTGGAGATAAGTATGGATGTCACAGATGTTGGTGGAGATAAGTGTGGATGTCACAGATGTTGGTGGAGATAAGTATGGATGTCACAGATGTTGGTAGAGATAAGTGTGGATGTCACAGATGTTGGTGGAGATAAGTATGGATGTCACAGATGTTGGTGGAGATAAGTATGGATGTCACAGATGTTGGTGGAGATAAGCGTGGATGTCACAGATGTTGGTGGAGATAAGTATGGATGTCACAGATGTTGGTAGAGATAAGTGTGGATGTCACAGATGTTGGTGGAGATAAGTATGGATGTCACAGATGTTGGTGGAGATAAGTATGGATGTCACAGATGTTGATAGAGATAAGTATTGAGTTAATCTGATCTCATATCATAGGGTATATCCACACAACATGCAATTACTGTATAAAACATAATATACCAGGCAGGATAAATGAAATACCACAACCTACGGTATAAGATGGGACAATATTGAAAATAAGTGATGAGGGGTGGTGAAACAAAACCAATTCCATCATTGACAGTGGAGGATACAACCAGTCCTGGGTCCCCCATTAGGTAATGTCAAATAATAAAGGATGAGTATAATCCGTCTCCTCAGGTGTATTTAAACCCTTTCACCAATACAAAACAATGATATATAATTCTCCATTGAATGGAGAGTGTAAATATATTCATGCAGGAGAGAATTGCTGTAATGGACACTGATGACTTGATCTACTAATGGTTTGAGTGATTTATTAGAGTAACCAGTACTAACATCATCAATAACGGTGTCATTGACATTTGAACTGAGCTTGCCCCAAAAATATTACAGCAGTCTTGTCTTTTCCACAGCTACGATGTCTAGATCATGTTGGTGCCTTGATATCTATATCTTAGCATCATTACCACTGGTCTAGAGAAATCACCCCAATAACAGCATTTCACAATGCATCACTTCAGTGAAAATATTCTAAATGGATCATAATCTTTAGAGCCTGTGGTTCGGGCACCAAACAGTATTTCCATACTACACAGAACTGAAATTTCAAATATCAGCTTTCATGGTCCAAAACTTTTGTAATTAGTTGGAAAATGACATGAAAATAGGGCAGTTATAATTAACATTACAACCAGAGAAAATCTTTGCCTCCCAAAGCCATATAAAACATTTCTACCCTGGAATATCCACCCAGCATCTGAAGCTGATAATATGACATTAACAATGTGGCATGTACACTCATCCTGGTATTTCAGTCCAGGTGAGCTACAGCATGATAACATATCAGTAGGGATATACAATTAGCAACACTCTGACTATTACAACTTGGGGTTACTGTATTGTCTCACATATAAGCTGACACACTGTAAATTTCATTGAAAAAAAATCTAAAAGCCATACAGTGTATGTCTGGATCAATGTATTTCCTTCTTCGTAAGTAAAAACAGAAAATATATTTTCTATTTACAAATTTGCTGATTTAACATCAGCCATTTTGTATTGTTATGAAAATATTTATGCCAAGAGTGTTTTTTTTTTCAAGAAATAAACTTCATCAACAATTTGTTATTTCAATTCAATACAAGAAACAGGAAAATATATTGCTCTGGCTTAATTTTGTTTCAAACTGTTTTTCACTAAGAGCATTTACAGACAATGATTGGCTTATTCCCAAACATGGGCCTACATTTGAGACAATACAGCGATACATCATGCCATGCCGAGGTCCATCTGTAAGTATGTCATTCAGTAATGTCACAATCCACAGCAATGGTGTACTACAGGGTGCACTGACGGGCGTACTGCAACCTGGTAGGAGGGAAACAATAAGTGCGGGGACCCCTTCACATGTTACAACAGCCTTACCCGGTCCTCTTCTGTGGTCAGATCTCCTCTGTCCTGGAAGTCACAATCATGGCATTCAGTGAATGAGTCTGGTTTAGAGCCGCTTGGAACAGTATTCCAGTTATCTCACGGCATGTCTGGAGTGGTTCACGTCTCACATGTTTACCACTTCAGTAAAACTATAAAAATCAGGCACGGTGCTGACAAACATTTTCAGCGTAAACCCATGGATTCAGATTTGAAACAGTGAGATAGGTTCCTTGCATGCCTAAGGGAAGCAACTCTGCACAGCAGATTGCAGTGCCTAACTAGTATCAGGAGTGGTTCATGTCTCCCATGGTTACTTACCACTTTAGTAAAACTATATAAATCAGATTGCAGTGCCTAAAACCACTGGTGTCCCTGACTGAGCAGAGTGTATAGTCAGCACCTCCTCACCAAGGCTCCATTAATACACTTTGTGAGCTGGGAAGAGATGTTGATTTGTTTTTAAGATGCTAGGTAGTAAGACACTGTGCAAAAAGTATGGCTTTATGTCAGAGCCATCATGTCTGAACCTCTGTCTGAACCATGGTGTCAGAACCATCATGTCTGAACCTCTGTCTGAACTATGGTGTCAGAACCATCATGTCTGAACCTCTGTCTGAACCATGGTGTCAGGACAATCATGTCTGAACCTCTGTCGGAACCATGGTGTCAGGACAATCATGTCTGAACCTCTGCCTGAACCATGGTGTCAGAACCATCATGTCTGAATCAGGGTGTCGAAACCATCATGTCTGAACCGAGCCGTGAAGGTCCGGGTTAGAATATTGATCTTCAGTAGCTCATGTTTGTCATAAGAGGCGACTAACGGGATCGGGTTGTCAGGCTCACTGACTTGGTTGACACATGTCATCGGTTCCCATTTGTGCAGATCGATGCTCGTGTTGTTGATCAGTGGATTGTCTGGTCCAGGCTCGATTATTTACAGACGGCCGCCATATAGCTGGAATACTGCTGGGTGCGGCGTAAAACTGAACTCTCTCACGCATGTCTGAACCACTGGTTGCACCAGGGTGTCATAACCATCATGTCTGAACCACTGTCTAAACCATCATGTCTGAACCACTGATTGCACCATGATATCAAAACCATCATGTCTGAACTTCTGTCTGAACCAAGGTGTCAGAACCATGTCTGAACCTCTGTCTGAACAATGGTGTCAGAACCATTATGTTTGAACAATGGTGTCAAAACCATTGTCTGAACCACTGATTGCCCCATGCTGTCATAAGCATCATGTCTGAACATGTCTGAACCATCATGTCTGAACCCCTTGTCTGAACTATGGTCTCAGAACCATCATGTCTGAATCACTGATTGCAACATGGTGTCAGAACCATCATGTCTGAACCTCTGTCTGAACTATGGTGTCAGAACCATCATGTCTGAACCTCTGTTTGAACTAAGGTGTCATAACCATCATGTCTGAACCACTGATTTCACCATGGTGTCAGAACCATCATGTCTAAACCATGGTGTCAAAACCATCATGTCTGAACCACTGTCTGACCCATGGTGTCTGAACAACAGTGTCAGAATCATCACATCTGAACCACTGTCTGAATCAGGGTGTCAGCATCATTTGTGAGTACTGATTTCTCAGTCATGATGAGACCTGTAACTTGTCCATCATTATACCACTGCACCATTCCACAATCTTCATAGCACAGTGCATTCTTCCTTCTAACACGATGCAATTGTTTCATTCACTTTATCGTATCAGAAAAGATATCAACTTACAAACATGGCCTGTTTTACAAAAGGGAATCTTATTATATAAATTCTCTCAACAGCATTTTCCTGATCGTACATGTCACACAGTATTCTGTGTAACCCCTGGAAACACACTCATACCTTATTGTGCTGCATAACCATCATCCTAAGCTGAAGATCGGCGCCAGCCTCAGACTTTGGCGCCTGTATCCGAGCCATGAGCCATTCAATGGATGCTTGCTTTGCCCCGGCAGAAAACTCGATCACAACCAGTGGCTCGAATTGGTCATCAGAACTCTTTACTCCAGAACGGAGGACGTCCTCAACATATGCACTTCTTGTCTCCATGGTGGGAGGACTGTCAATACTAGTCTTGTTTTATCTGAAACATGGTAGAGTGAGTGAGTGAGTGAGTGAGTGGGTGGGTGGGTGGGTGGGTGGGTGAGTGAGTGAGTGAGTGAGTGAGTGAGTGAGTGAGTGAGTGAGTGAGTGAGTGAGTGAGTGAGTGAGTGAGTGAGTGAGTGCTATTGGTAATATTAGTGTTAGTTCAAGATATTTTATTCTCATGAAAAGAAATGGGCACATTAGAAAGTCCTCTCCCAGAGATATCTGTGTATGCTTGTTTACATTTAATATGTTAAATGTACAGGAACGAAGAAATATACAGAAACATGCATGTGAACATTGCACACACAGCCCTTTCTGTTTTCTTCATAAATGGCTGTACAGTCCGAAAGATGTTTCATCAACATCACCAAAACTGCATTTCACTATTAAAGAACCACTAAACTTTGTTTTTTGTTACTCTTTTAACCATTACATATGAAAGATTTGTGGTTAGTCTTATGCGGAACACCAAATTTATTCTTTAAAAACTTGTGGTTAATTAATACCGAGCGATTAAAAGTGGCCAAAAAGTCGCCTGCTTCCCTCTCGCCCGCCAACGAAACCACAGACAGGTTACGTAACTCTGTCGCCAGAGCACTGCAGTGACGTCATATGAGGAACGATTTTCAGTTAGTTGTATAGAAAATGTGTAGCACGCTCATCATTTTGATGATTTCTCGACATCAATGACGACATGCCGAATCGTTGCTTTGTCGTCAATTGCTCCTAGGGGTCGGGCGATGGTGTCCCCATGCACAGATTTCCACAGGACCCGAAGTTCGTGCTAAATGGGTTATGTTTGTGAGTGCGGTTGGCGTTGTGGAAGCCTGAAACGATATCTTACTTGTGTTCAGATCGCTTCACGGAAGTTAAAGAATCAAAACTACTTACTAGTTGTAGTAAAATATGCATATGATTGATGACCATAAAGATTTTCTATGACACAACTTGTAACATAACGATTTCTTCCTCGAAGTGAGGTTGTGGTCAAATAACAATAATATTGTAAGTAGTATTATATTGACACCCACCTCGCTGCCACGAGAGAAATTGTTATGATATACTGCTATGTCATGCAAAATCCTATTGGCCATCAATAAAATACATATTTTACTACCAGTAGAAAGTAGTTTTGATTTTGTAACTTCGGTGAAAACAAACCTAAAATAACATTTATCCTCAGACTGGCGGATGTTCCCGACAGGGCTATCATTTTAAAAATAAAAAATCTGTTAGAATTAATGAGATTATAGTTTGTTTTCATCAAGTTAGAAAATCAAGACTACTTTCTACTCGTTGTTAAATATGTATTGGAATCATAACCAAAAGGATTTTGCATGACACAACTTATAACATAACGATTTCTTCCACAGAAGCGAGATGGGGTCGAAGTCACAATACTGCTAGCGATAAATTTCTTGCTACATTCCCATGGTTAATGTCCACTCACCAGTATGTAGATACTAGTCAATGTGCGTCTTTATATTTGGTCTTATAATCCTAATTAGTTTATTATCACACTTGTATGCATTTTGAAACTAAATAAAAGCAGACAATCTGCTGATACTTATAGTGAATTTATAACAGAACTGTAATATCTAGACATTTTATAGTTTGCCAATGTGAATAATAATTCGCACACACACCCTAGTGCATGTTGTCTGTCTCATTACACTTCACGGCGAAAACAATGATTCTGTTGAATGCTACGACAAATGAATAAAACAAAATGCAAATATTAAAATTAAAACAGATTAAAGTTATAGGAACAATATCAGGCCATTACCTTGTTCGAGGAATGTATCCATCAATATCCACAAAACTGTTCCAAATGATGTGTCTTTTAACAGTTTAATATACGAAAAAGTGATAAATCTTTTCAGGTATTGGTGTATAGTCTCATTGGTCACCCAAGATAGCACACCTGGCAACTAATTGCATAATGTCCGCCTTTCTTTAAAACCAGTAATTTAGTTAGCCAATAATGGGCAATCAATCAATGTATTGCCGGTTAATCCTTTGAAAGAAGGACGTTGTTTTTACGCATGAACACCGACCACGACAGAGTGTATTCAGTATAGATTAGTAAATCTACATACATAAACACTACCTTTGACAATTCCGCTGTGTAAGATAAGAGTAATTAATCAATCAGCGTGTTATCGGTTAATCCTTTGATCGATGTTTATAATGTTGAATATTTACTCCAGACACAAGAAATGCCAAATGGGAACCTTTGTCGGGTAATCTAAGTGTGTTACCACTAATTATACCTGTTATAAATTCATTAACTGACCATCAAGTGAATGATGACAAATAACATGTGTAGGTTTATACCACCTAACACGGGTTACAACGAGGGAGTATTAATTGCTGTATTGCATGTGAAAACTTATGGGCCGACACTGTTTTGAGAATACAAACAGATTTTTACATGACATGATTAAATATCGAGGTAAAACAACACAGAAATGGGATCAATTTGGATCAGTCATTATACAAATAGGGCCTAACGACACCAATCGATTTTGACAGAATCGTCTATGAAAACAAGTTGTAACTTCGAAACTAGGCAAAGCAGGAGACAAAATTAAATGACAGTAGATTGTGAGAACATATAGCTTTCATTTTCCACAACAATTGTCACGATTTCAGGTTTATACAAGCCTGTAAACACGATAATTTACCCCCTAAAATGTAGATGAATTCTGCATCGGCTCTCAAAGCTATTCCTCATATGACGTCACAGAGGCGCGCCGCTCTGATTGGTTGAAATTTCGTTCGCGGGTGAGAATTGTGCACTGTTGTCAAAAAGGTCGATTTAAGTCAATTAAAGGTCGAAATGAGTAGTTTTAATGACGGGGTTTCATTTATAACGATGCCAGTTAGTGATTTATGTATTTGTACCCCCTAGGGTTTATGTGACCTTTAACAAAAGACATCAGAGTAACATTCTACCATATTACACAAGTATAAATTCAGTGTAGACAAGGCAAATGCGTGATCCAATACACAAAGTCGGCCAAAACACCACTGGATACTTTTCAGTCATCTTTTCAGTCAACAATGGAACCCCCTTGGGACTTGAGCACATACAACAGAATTGATGAGATCATGTTTTCCACAAGACTAACAACATAAGGCACAAATATTTCCCTGTTCACGTGAACTGATTAAAAAAACTGTCATGTTATGCCAAACTCACACAATGCAAAAACACCAACATTAATATGGCTTAATTTAATATCACAGTATATTCATACTGCTAACAGGCTATAAAAGTTTGAATTTCTATATCATGACAGGGATCCTACTCTTAATAGCATGTTAGCATCAAGCAGAAAAGATACCACTTTAGTCATGACAAATACATGTATTGGCAGTATAAGATTTCATAATTACAGCTGCTGAATGAACACCAACTAGTCTCTCCGATCACTGCTGCTTCAAATGATGATATATATCTTCAATCCACAGTGTAGATACTATTTTAACTTGCCGTGTAACACCTGCATGAGTCAAGTTCGCCAAGTAGTAACTGCAATATCAGATGTCCTTCCTTGTCATACAACACCCTGCTGCTAATATCACCATGATAAATACATGAGTTTCCTGAGGCCAGTTCCTATCTGCTGACTTGCTGAATTAGGAAATCCTCGAGAATTGTTTATTCTAATGAAAGATTTTGCAATGTGGTTTTGTGGATAAGACCAAGTTTTGTTGAATTACATCTAAAGTAAGGAGAAATAGTGGCGTCAGCCGACACTCTTAGCCCAGCATGGTATTGGCAGCCCTTCTCCAAACCTATACTTGTTAGTAGTTTTGTAACAACTTAAGGGTACTTTTTAAAAAATTAGATAACTGAGACTTATTATAAATAACCACGCTGAAAATGATTTTTTATTATTAGTTAAAATTAACCACATATTAATTTGCTACCTGCATTTTGAATATGACCTTCACATTTTTAAATACCAAGATCAGATGGTTGGTTGTTGTTTAACACCGCGATCAGCAATATTTCAGCTATATGCGGCGACCTGAAAACATTCGAGTCTGGACCAGACAATCCAGTAATCAACAACATGAGCATCAATCAACGCAATTGGGATACAATGACATGTGTCAACCAAGACAGTTAGCCTTACCACCCAATCCTGTTAGTCACCTCTTACAACAAGCATGGGTTACTGAACACCAATTCTTACTCAGCTCTTCACGGGTTCAAACACCAAGAATAAAGTGGCTATCACTAAAGTAAATCCCATTAAAATTAGACCTTTCACTTTGCTCCTTCTATGTGTTAATATGTTTCTTCTATGTGTTAATATGTTTCCTCAACATGTTAATATGTTTCTCCAAAGTGTCAAGATCCGAGGATGCCTCTATATACATGGTCAAGTCAGTTGGACATACATGGCATCTTTGATCGTCCATGATTCCATTGTCCATTGTATCAAGATACAGTCAAACACTGTTGTGTGTCAAACTTACCGTTGTATCGAGATACAGTCAAACACTGTTGTGTGTCAAACTTACCGTTGTATCGAGATACAGTCAAACACTGTTGTGTGTCAAACTTACCGTTGTATCTAGATACAGTCAAACACTGTTGTGTGACAAACTTACCGTTGTATCGAGATACAGTCAAACACTGTTGTGTGTCAAACTTACCGTTGTATCTAGATACAGTCAAACACTGTTGTGTGACAAACTTACCGTTGTATCGAGATACAGTCAAACACTGTTGTGTGTCAAACTTACCGCTGTACTGAGATACAGTCAAACACTGTTGTGGTTAGGTTAGGTTAAATTGGGTTTTACGTCGTGCTTGAGAATATTTCGCTCATATGACGACGTGCATGCGTGTGTATGTGTATGTGCGGCTGCTTGTACTAGCCCAGACTGAAGCTGGTTTTATAGTGCTAGCCCACTGAGATACCATGCCGCAGTGAAGCATGAATACCCCACTCAGACACATTATACTGACTCCGA